ACACACACACACACCTGGTTCCCAGACCGGCTGTTGTGAGCCCAACACTCAGGCAGAATCTTTGTAGTCAGCACCGAGCACATCTACTGCTGATGTCAGGAACTATTATGCACAATTTTACATAAACACACACACACACACACACACACACACACACACACACACACACACACACACACACACACACACACACACACACATATATAAGAAAAACCAGCATGCAGTCTATCTCATCATATCACTTTTATCTCCACAGGTGGTAAATTTAGCCCTCTGGCTCCCTGTCAGCTTGTCTGCTATAAACAAATCAACACAGACGTACACAGAGACCGAAGCAGCCAGCCTGTCATGTCGGTTTAAAAAAAACTGCTCCACAGTTTTATGTATTCACCTTCTGGCGCTCTTTTTATCCACACATCAATCGTGAGCCAGCCCTTTAACCCAGCCTAACACGTTCTGTCAGCAGCTCCACAGGTGAGCCGGTCTCTGCTCACAACGCCGTCTGTCACCGCTGACGCCAACTCTCCTCTACCCTTCTCTGACTTCTCTCCTTTCCCTCTGCTCTCTAGATCTCCCCTTTGTGACCCATACACACAGGTGCACTGCTATGGTTTCACTGCTTCTGGGTAACATGGGCGAGTTTCTTGACTGAGGTGACTCTAATGAAACATTGACTTGTGCAGGATTGGGGGGACTTAAATTACTGCAGTAAATTACTGATGTATCCTCAGCGATAACACAACCTCAAGCTGCTCCTGTGTCCTGACCTTCTGGTGGGTCTCAGTTTCACTGTAAATTCAACGTTATGCAGAGGCTTCAATCTGGTTCTCTTCTTCAACTGATTGTCTTATTTCTTGCAGTTAACAAATCTTAAGTTTACAAATATGATGATGCAAGTTTGCAAAAAGTGAAAATGCAAGATTTGTCAGCTCTTCCCTCAGGAGGAGAAACAACTTTTAGGATGCTTGGAGGTAGGGATGGGCGACGTAAGCGAAAAAATGCATCGCTTTAAGTTTTGCCATTCTGCCGATAACGATAAAAGTCCCGATAAAAAATGTTATGATTCCTATCCTGAACAATAATTTATCTCCCATCCCTACTTGGAGATTGGAGAATGCCTACCTAAATTCAGGTGATTTGGACGTCTAAACTGATGCTGCGTTCGAGTTACCTCAAACGTCAGCTGTCTGAACTGGGAATGACGTCACACCCGAGGTACAACAATTTCAGTTCCCAAGTCGGCAAAAAGCAAAATCGGAGGCAGAAACAAGATGGCTACATCTATGAAAGTTTTTTTTGCATCCCCTTTCGTAGATGTAGCCATCTTGTTTCTGCTTCCGATTTTGCCTTTTTCCGACATGGTTACTGAAACACTGGGAACTCGTGTGACGTCATTCCCAGCTCCAACATCTGACTTCCGAGGAAACTCGAACGCAGCATATGTCCTGCACATCTGACTTAATCAACCAGAAGCGAATATAAACAACACTTTGCATGCAGTTAATTAATTGGAATGAACACATTCATTATCAGGTATCAGGCTAATGGTAGCTGGTCATTATGGTGGATTACATTCCTCCTGCTTTTGCTCTCCATACTGACTATTTAATCTGCGTAAACCAAAGCCTGGTCAAACATGGTCCAGAGCATTTATAGTCCATGGTGGCCTCCCCTGTCCTTTAACTGTAGCACCAGGTCTGTTGCGATATTTCCCTTCCCCTCCTCCTTATGAGACTCTTTTGTCAAAACCCCGCCTCCTGGTCATCACATAACCAGTTAGCCGGGCTCAGCACAGTCCACTGATTCATGGCCGCGCAAAAGGTACGCCGGTCAAAATGCAATTTTCTGCAAGATTTCACATGATGATGAATCGCTTTGGAGGGTCGCGATAAACGATGACTTCCAATTATAGATGCATAAGTATCGATCTGTCAACAAAAGCGGAGGGGGGGGGGGGCAGTAATGTTGTGTTTACTGACTCACAAAGACAAACACATGCAGAAAGACACAGTGGACACTGCAGCATGAACAAAGTCCTACAAAAGCTCAGAAAGAGAAAACGCAGGAGGGACAAGTTCACCTGGGAGCAGAGTAGACCTTCACCTGGAGTGACACACACACACATATACACAAACACACACACATCTGCTTCCATCCAAACCCCACGCTGGACTGTTTCTAAGCAGACAAGAAACAAACACTCTTGGATTAAAGACAGAAGACAGCCTGCGTTTACTTCCCCCTTGTGCTCGTCTTGAAGGTTTCGCTCAGTACTTACTGTCAGGTTCATCCACTGGCTGGCTGGCTGGCTGGATGGCCGCTTCTTTCACTCTCCACAGCTGCAGTCAGTCAGTCAGTCAGTCTCAAGGACAAACGCTTCAGCTCTCCTCGCCTCCGGTCTCTAAGGCTCAGCGATGCAGCAGCACTCACACACACACTCCCAACACACACACTCACACACACACTTCTCTCTCTCTCTCTCTCTCTCCTCTCCAGTGCTGAGTTTACCTACATACCTGCCTAGCTCGCTCGCTCACTCGCAGGGGGAGTCCTGAGAGAGTGTGTCAGACAGAAAGTGTGTCTAGTGAGGGGATGGTGAGGAGAGGGTGAGGTGTGTGAATGGTGAGGGGGGGGGTGCAGACTGTTGGGGAAGAGGAGGACACAGCCAGCACTCCCTTATATGCAGAGGGAGGTGGTGAGGAGTGTGAGGGAGGGTGGAGGAGACACAGCGCTCCTGTATTCCCATAGATACAGAGGAGGGATTTCTAATGCAGCTTTGCAAGGAAGGGAGAGAGAGAGAGAGAGAGAGTGAGAGAGAGAGAGCATCATATTTCAGGGATGTTGAGTCAGCATGTGAATGTGATGCATGTGTTGATAGAGCTGGAAATATTTAGAGGACACGTTCTCACAGGAAGTTATGGATTAAAGCTCCCTTCATAAAGGAGCAGTGAGTGAGTTTTCTGAGAAACACAAGAGACCAGAAAGTTGTCCGCTTTGGATGTCATGATGGTCAGAGACTGAAAAATGATCATTTTGAGCTGTTTTACGAGCAGGGGTGTGTCCAAATATTCTATGAATAGGGGGCCCGACCCAAGTATATAGAAGGGGGGGGCAAGGAATATATGAGTGCAGAAACACAAAGTTCCCCCATTTAATCTCTTCTTTTACTTTAAATGTGCACGATTTTATTAAAATAACAACCATCAGAAACATTGCAGCAAAATTTAAACACTGCAGAATTAATTTAACTTGAAATAAGGAGGCTTAGTTTAGGAAATCTGAAGTTTCTTACAAAATTACTGGGATTGCTAACTTTATTTTGTCTTTCAAACCGTTGAGCATTAAGTCCCCCTGGGTAAGTTGTTGTGGGCCGGTATTAGCACTAGCTTCAGGTTATTGCTAGCTGCAGTTCTGCTTGAATGGGCTGCTCTCGTTCCGGGCTTTAAGCTCTTTACAAAGTCTTGTTATGCGCTAAATTGTGAAGTTCTAAGCTCATTAAACCAATGTTTCGCTGTGGTAGCGTGATGATTGAAGTTAGTAAATGTTAAAATAAGCAAGGAGCGCGAGAGCTTGCGTGTTCACTCCGCCATGACACCCCGGAAGCCCTGCTAACTTGAGAACTAGGAAAAAACTAGATATTTCAGTCTCTGTCCCTTTAAGGCCCCCCCTAAGATTCCGAAATCAGGCATTCTTGAGAAGCCTTCTCCCCTGTTGCCATGCAAGAACGTTGTAGTTCCTTTCCATAAAATGACAAATTTGCCCTTTTAAAGTGTCACGATTTGAGCAAATCTCATCTTGATCTTGCTGAATTATCGTTACATTCAGCGACAGTTCCTTCAAATAAGAGTAAAAGAAATAAAGGCAGCCACACAGACTCTTGAATTTTGTTAACCATGTTTTATTTTTTCTAATCTTTATTTCACCATCTGCACTTCAAGTTACTTTAAACCTTTAAATGAGACCACTTCTGCTGGTATTATCCAAAAACCTCAATCAACAGAATAAACAGTAACACATTTAGAAATGGAAACCGATCTAAAACAATATTTAAAACTTAAATTCACTTCTGTTTTTTTTATCACTATCATGGAAAAGGCTCCAGAAGAGGTTGTTCTTTGTGTCGAGTTCAGACAAGGACCGATCAGTCTAATTTAAGTCGTACACAGGTGGACCTTTACAGTCGTCTAATAACAGCGATACCTCATCTCTTAAAGGATTATTTCTTTTTTATGTTGTACTACAGTCAAATAACCGTGAAATCTTCCTCTACAAACGTGTACAACATGGTCCTCACAGTGCATGGGATAATTTTTCTGAAGTGTGCCTCCGGACCGTTCTCAGGAAACATCAGCAGGACCTTCGTCAGCCGCAGCTGCACATGCACACAAACAGCGGGCTGGAAATGGAGGGAACATTTGGTTTGGATTATCTGGTTTAGTTTCTGGACTGATAAAAACATCCGGATGACATGACTCCACCCGTTCACTGAAAAACAAGGGAATGGAAACTCATCCGTAGTACAGTGTATCTGAACTTCATTAGAAACAGAACTAGACTGAATCTTGAGGTATGACCGACTCAAGTGTTTGTCCAAAATTCTTGTGCAATATTGGACAAAACCGTTCACCGTTACGACACCGACTCGGACTGCTAACTGAAAACAAACCGCACCGTTGTCATTGGTTACAGTGACCCTGTTTCTCGCCTGAATCGGTGTGATCTGAGGTACCAGGGCTGAGGCAGCATGCCAGCTTAACACAATAAAAATTCGGCATCAGAACCGCTCTGGAGGAGGAATGAAGTCTGTTCCTCGGTGTAGTTTCAGTCTTTTACTTTCACGTGTCGCTCGCTCCGTTAGTGCGAACACTTGGCGTGGATATCCCCGTTATTTCCCCAATATGGGAAAGTTTCTCTTTCATCACAGACTCTGTTGCTAGGAAGAGTCTCGTCCCTTCCCTTCTTATGCCTGGATTATTCTGGACCCTTGGAGTCATCCCTGCTCAGTTGAAGCCCAGACCTGTGCCTTTGGGTCTCTGCGTGGCCCGGATGGGCTCGGTGATACCGCGGCCTTCTGGTCCCAGCCCCATCCCCGGGTTCCAGCCCATGCTCTGCAGCATGCGGCTCCCCATGTTGGTGTCCGGGATGGGAGGGGCGTTTTCTCCGACCACACCTGAGGAGAGAGGAAGAAGAAGTTTGTGACACGATGACGGTCCTGAATAAACGGCGTTATTATAATCGTCGGTCTCTTCTGTTCCTCGCCGTTCCTGCTGAAAATAATCCTTGTATTTTGACGTTTGACCTCCTCTCACTCATTAAGCCCCTCCTCCTGTGACATCATCTCAAGCTACGTCTGAGTAATGTTATCACGTAATCAAATCAGCCACATTTCCAGACATATAGCACACCCACATCCTCGCAGCTCGCTCCCATGGCGGTCATTCTGTCTCTGCTCTTCCTGAAAGCTCGCTGTCCAGTCAGAGACGCCCCCCACCGTTACCCGCTTTAATCCCGTCTTTATTTGTATGCGGCACAGAGGGGAGATGCCTGCTCAATTACACACTTGATTGTTGAGTCCCGGCCCGGTTCGAGCCAAACTGTCAGGACATAGTTTTGGCCGTGCTCGACTTCTTCCCGCTGTGAGGTCGGCACCTGGTGTTCCTCGGCTCTGCACTCGTGTCTGCGGCCAATCTGATGTGTTACAACGCTGGCAGAGTCTCACCGATCGACTCGCTCCAGACTTTAAATATTCATGCAGAGTTTGAGCTCGTTTTTGTTTCCGATCTGCTCTTGTGTGTGTTTTCAAACACTATTTCAAATTAAGGCTCACCGACCTGAACAAGGGGCTTAAAGTTTTTTGAACATTTACAGATGCATTTCTGAGTTTTTATTTGTGCATTTTTAGGCGAAAACTATTGTGCAGTGGTGTGAGGCTACAGGAAAGAAGTGTGGCATCCTGTTGTTCCTTTGTCTTAATCTGCAGAAGACACATTTGCATCTTTAGGAGGCTGTGAAAAACACTGGTATTTGCAAATCTGAATTAGAGCGGTTGGCGGTGTGGCGGTGTGGCGGCTTTGATAGAGTCGTGGGCATGATGGCGAGCAGAGAAGTCCGTAACAAAGAGGGAAAGACAGGTGAGGAGATGGAGGACGGTTCAAAAGTCGTAGCAGCTGAAGTAGACGAAGTTAATGTGGGAGGGGGTGAGCAGCTTGTGGAGTAGTTATCGTCCATTTATCGTTATCGATGTGAACTGATCAATATATCGTGATATTGACTTGAGGCCATATCGCCCGGCCCTATAACATCGTCTTTGTTTCAGAGCTTCATTTTTACTCTCTCTTTCTGATTCTGGCAGCTTCAGGTTGAAACATATATCTTTGGTACTTAAGCACATTGTAAAATAATGGAGTAAGTCTATTTTAAAACATGTATCATCAAAATAACTAATGGGTATCGATTTCTTAAGTCTGAGTTTAAGTTAAAAGGAAAACTTGTCCCTTTCTTCAGACCATATATGTTGAAAATCGAGTTCGACCTTTCAGCTTTGGGCTCTTCTACCTCACCCTGCCTCCCTCCCTCCCTCCTCTGAAAGCATTAACTGGCCCAGAGGTAAGGAGAGTGTTTTGGGGGAGGGATTGGGGGGGATACACAAGTGTTACTGGCTAAGAGCTAATCCAGTATCTCTGCTCTGACAGCACCACTAGCCAGCTGACTCTTGTCCAACAAAGCTTAGGAGGAAAGGGGGTTAAGAGCTAAAGCAGGGTTTAATAACGCGGAGGGGGGAGGAAAAAGGGAGGGAGGGGAGAGAGAGAGGAGAGGAAGCAATATGAAGGATGAGGGAGTCCCTTCACTCAATTAATTCCTTTAAAAAAACAACAACATGAAGCCGAACCCTCACTTCTCATCCCAGTCCCGTGTGTTTACATCAGGGTACGTGCTAGACAGAAGGAAATGAGGGAAGCAGGCTGGTGAGCACACTGAGGGGGGAGAAAAACAAGTGAGGGACTGAGAGCCAAAAATATCACTAAAGTGGGCAGTTGGTAAAAAGTGCCAGATGGTGTGTGAGGTGTAGCTAGGTGTGTGTCCAATACCTGAGGGGGCGCCGGAACCGAGGGGGGCTGCTTTTCGCCTCCGCTTGACATCCCCCGTGCACAGAGAGCCAAGGTGCCCGCTGGTCTGTCTGCGAAACCAGACGGGCACAAAGTAAATATGCAGGAGTTGGTTTTACACCGAGAGGAAGTGAAAAATACAAAAGTGGAGCAGAGGGTTTAATCCGGTCAGAAATATCAGAGTTTGAGTTTAACTTTCGCTCTCACCTGCTGGCTGTTTTTACCGAGCAACTCCTCCGGTGGCCTCTGTCTGACCGCGGGTCCCAGTGCAACTGAAGTGCAAGAGAGGGTGAGGACAGGGTAAACAAACTCAAGCAGTTAGCAAGAAACTAAAAGGTTACTCAGTTTAACAGGAAAAAACATAAAACCCCTGTGTATCTGGATTTAAACAAGAAGTAGGAAACACGCCTCACCTGTCCGTGTTCTCTCCTCATGCCAGAGCTGAACCACGGCCTGTAGGGGGTTCAAGAGAGTCTTTCAGGACCACAAAAACTTAACTCGGGTTCAACACTTGTTACTGATGAGTGTGCAGGCGGAGAAATATGAAATTTAAGATGTGAACTCACTCATGGGAGTCCTGGCTTTGTCTCCCCAGTCTGTCGTGGAAGCTTTGGCCTGAGCCGCCCTGCAGCCCCGTCTCAGATGCCTGTTGGTTTCCATGGAGACGACTCAGCCTGGCCTGGAACCCTGGGAAACACAGTTTAGGTTTGTCAAAGATTTTATTCATGAGATGAGAAGTTTGGTTTGAAAATAGTGAGACTAAATGTTTAACAGTAACTTCAACTGCCTCAGTCTGTGTCTGTGTGAGGAGTCTGCCATCTACTGGACATGAGTGATACTGCAGCAACATTGTTGTCCACATTACTGTACACTGACCTCTCTGTGCTGCGGGGCTCATGAGGGGAAACGATCCAGTCAGGATGCTGTTGAATACAGGGTCAGCCAGGTCCAGCTCCTCTGACCCGGTCTCCCTCTCCCACCAGGGGACCACTCCTGCGATCCCACAGGCACCACCGGGCGCCGATCCAGTACCGGGCTCGCCTTCGTAGAACCAGTCGCTCTGCTCATCGTCACCTGGAGGAGAGAGAGGACAGGAGATCATCAGAACCTTTACTTCACTGTAGAGGAAGAGGTAACAGGTTCAGGTTTTTTTATCATTTTGAAAAAAGGTGAACACGTCATCGTCAGTACCTTGTCTCCCCTCATCATTGGTGTAGAGGCCTCCGTCACTGCTGTTGCTGACGCTGCTGGTTTCACTAGAAATGTGATGTAAAAAAAAACGATTAAAACACATTTTGAAAGGTAAAATTTTTCTCAAATTTGAAAAACACAAACAGTCAAAAAGATTCGTCTACACAAGGAAGACTTTTAAGACTAATCTGACTGATCGGACATACCGTGATATATACCGTTACCGTGATAAGAAATTACTCATACAGTGATATAAGATTTTGTTGAACCACCAACACTTCTCAGGTGTAAACAGAAGAGATCTCCTCCTTACCTGTCGGCCTACAGTGTCTTAAACAAACTCATGAATAGTAAGAAAGAGACTAAACACTAACCACCTGTCACTCATGTCCTCATCCGAGCCCTTCTGCTCCTCCAACTCCATCTTGTCCTTGCTCCCTTCTGCTGGAGAACAGATGGTGTCCTCACTCTCCACCACCACCCCTTCATCCGCAGCCTCCACCCCCAGCCTGTGGGTGGCCAGTTTCCTCTTCTTCACCCTGTTTTTCCCTCCCCCTGGTCCGATGAGACCACTTCCGCACAGCTCCATCACCCCCCTGCCATCGTTCGCGCCCAGTCTGTGTGGCCTGCTACCGGGACGCGCTTTGGGGACAGGCGGGGGCCCCAGCATGGTTGAGGAGGGGAGTTCTGGTTCTGCAGGAGGGTCCACGGCCATGCGTTTCACTTTGCGTCTCCGTCTGAGGCTGCGAGTCCCCTCTGCAGACCCCAGGACGCCTAAGTCATCCGGCCAGAGTGGACGCTTGCTGCGCCCGGTGTCAGCTGTCAGGAGGGTGCGTCGTTTGGGGCCAAGCTGTTCATCTGAGTCGCTGTTGTCCCGGCCATGGCTGTTGGAAGCAGAGACCCCTCCGGTACTGGCACGGTAGTCCTGCAACAAAAGTCAAAGTCTGACTCGGGTTCTAAAATAAGAACCGGATTCAACTCCAGGAAGTAAACCAAGTCAAAGCAGAAAGAGGAGGGTTACGTAAGAGGGTGGTACAAGCTCGTTCTGGTCCAGATCACTCTTTATAAAGACATTTACCACTTCCACTGCAAACAGTCTATACTAAGTGGATGACTCCAACTTAATTTGGAGGTCAGTAGATTATAATTACCCAAGGATTAGTCCAGATTAAGGTTTTGCTGCTCTTACTACAGAGTTTAATAATCTGTTTAGGTCAAAAAAAGCAAGATATTAAATCATGAACATAACGGTCTGCTTCCAGATCTCTGAATTATCACCACCAAGAATCTGTGAGGGATTAAATCCAATTAAACTAAGATTAAATGTGTTAAACCGCATGATTAGGATAATAAAATGTCGATTCAGCCTTAAACAGAATATCAAATTACTCGTTAAAGGACAAATCTGTGATGTGTGATAACATTCAATCTCAGAATACCAATAAGAATCTGGTGAAGTGAGTATTTGGACTCTTTAAAGTTCAAGTTCTTCACTTTTTTCTTTACTGTAATTAAGATTTTGTAGGGATGCAGTAAAGAAAAAAGTGAATTTACATGGTTACACTTTCAAGAATGTAAAGTTTGACATTAATGCAACGAGCAGTGAGACATCAGCCCTCGATGACTTGCTTAAATGCCTCTAAGCTGGCTCAGCGACACAAATTGGAAGATCCCGAGCTAAGTGCTGCCCGACAAATCACTGTCCTCGGTCAACTCACCTTGTGTTCCTCCACACTGGACTCTGAGCCCTCACTGAGGTGACCCGTCTCCCACGGCGGGTGCGGGTTGTCGGAGCGTCTTTTTCTCCCCCTTCGCTTCCGAGCCTGTCTCTTCAGCAGACAGCCCACAGCCAGAGCATGGTCTCCCCCGTCTCCAAAACCACCGCGCGCAGCCTGCTCAGAGCTCTCCTCCAGCGCTGACACCAAGTCATGGACCAGCTCGTCCATTGTTCGGCGAAAGTGCCTGCAGGGTGACAGAAAAACATCTCTAATGCCACGATAACACTCAAGACAATACTTCACTTACTCCACAGAGGCTCTAATGCATTTAAGAGATCTAGAGTAGGTTGCGTTTTCAGGTCTGTCAGCAGCTTTTAAGGACAGCTCAGGTAAGTGCTGTGATATCTGTTGGTGTAAAAGACGCTGATGTTTGGTCAGGCGTGATATAAACCAACCATTTATAACATTATAACACCTGGGCAATCTAGTGTAATCCAGTACAACAGTTCTATCTGATACCTGGGGTGAGTTATATTGAAAGTAGGGCCTGGCGGTAAAAGGATAATGTTATCGAAAATTAATTTCCCTCAATATCAATACAAAACATGGTCAATATGCTTTTCAATAGTCATGTTTTTGGTCGACTATATGAATAGCCAATGAAAAGGGGAGTTCCGCCAAGTGCGCTTCGCGCTGAACCAATCGTGCTGAATTAGAACCAAGTAGCAAACAACTGCGTAGAAGCAGACAGCAGCTACACCACTGTTGTTTTCGTTGACAAAAATATTTCGTCAACGCCCCTTTTTCTCCATGACGAAAACGTGACGTTGACGAGCTAAACATAAGTCTTAGATGTCTAAAATGTGACGAGACTTTTGTCCGTCAAACACTAAACGTATATTCAGCAGTGTTGTTTTCAACGCAAAAGGTTACAAACCCCAAGCGGAGCAAGGAGCCGACAACTCAGTCTGCTTTCTCTAACGCAACGCCTTACGAGAAAATATCGAAGAGACGACCTCACAGATGCAGTAGCTTATTGTATTGCAAAAGATATGCTACCAATAAGCATTCTTAAATTTCGCTTTTTATATCGTGATATATATATCGATATCGACTGATATAGAAAAAATACATCATGATAAACTTTTTCCCATATCGTCCAGCCCTTGTTGAAAGGTGCTTCTTCTATTTTGTCCATGTCATTACAAACAGGTTGAGGGACAAAATATTAGGAACACCTTTCATAATGTGCACTCCAGTACACCAGCAACACCCACTGTAACTTCAACATTTCTTTTAACGTCGTTCGTGATACTCGCTCCCCCATCACTCCAATTTTGCTGTTTTGTTGTTGTTAGCTCGACAAGCTAGCTAAATTTTTCGCGCTAGTTAGCCTGACTGACTCCAACAAACCACCGATTGACGCAAATCACAGATAACGACAGTCAAGCTCCGGGATTAACAGCTTTAAATGTCGTACTTTGAGGGACTGTCGCTGGAAAACAACGCCACACAACAGTGAAATCTCCCTGTTTTTCAGACTAGCTTCCCCGCTAGCCTTAGCCTCCTTAGCCGGTTGATTCACGAAAGTGGACGTGAACAATATGTCACGTCTCCGAGATTTAAAGACCACCTACCAGCCGGTTCCCGCTTTGCCGATGGTTTTTAGATTAGCCGCACGGAACATGAAAGCCGCCAAATGCCGGATATCTTTAACCAGAAACAAGGGGGAAACATTTACACAGCACGGATACCATCCTGACAAAAGCTACCGATCAGCTAACTGGATCAATACGCGACAGGAGGAGGACACCGTGAAGGCAACAGGAACGATGCGTTTAAGGGCTGCGGGAAATATGAGGTTCAACCGTCGCTTAACGAGAACCGTTTTTTTAAACTGCTCCAGGTAATTACAAAATAAATTATCTAATTTTAATTTAAGCTATTAGAAATATGGAATTTTTATTAAAAGAAATTTTTTTTAAATATACTTTTCTATAAACCTGTTGGCCACACAAAGACAGCAGGAAAGTAAACAATATTTAATTAAAAGTAGATGAAAAATAAAAGACTACAACACTATTAAAGTTAAAAAATAATAATAATTGAATTATAGACGTAGTGTATACAGCTGGTAAACACCGAGTAAAAAGTGCTACACAGATTATATTCTGATCAAATGTTATATCAGATAAATTAGAGTAATTTAATAATATATAATATAGTAAAATGTGACAGATGATATGCAGGAAAAATTAAATGAAATATGAAATTCAACCGTCGTCTAATGAGCACAAGTTTTTTTTTTAACCACTCCAGATTGTTACAAAATAAATTATTTAAAAATATTTCAATTTCAGCTCTAAGAAATATGTTTTTTTTAAAAGATACTTTTCTCTAAACCTGTGGACCACACAAAGAGAGCAGGAAAGTTCATACGATAAAATTAAAAGTAGATTAATAATAAAAGACAACAACAGAATTTAAGTCAAAAAAGAATAGAATGAAATTTGTGGTATCCAACTGGTATACGCCAAGTAAACAGTACTATGCAGGTCATATTGTGATCCAAAACAATATCAGATAAACTAAAGTAATTTAATAAAATATAATTTAGTATAATATGACAGGTGATATGCAGGACAATTTAACATCAATAGTATGATATAAGTTCTCTTTAGTTACTTTTTTTATAGAGTTGTAACTATAAAAGACGCATTTGATTTGTTTGTAAAAATGAAGTTTATTACTCACCACCAAAAAAGGCACAATATCATTTATTTCAAGTGAATACCTCGTTAAAAAACTTACTTTTACAGACTTGCTTTTAGTCAATGCCATCTTTTATATTTTATCTTTTATCTGTCATCTCTTATCTCTTTTACCTCTATCTTATTTTGACTTTACTGTCTTTTTAGCTTTTGTTATACTTACAGTCTTTTCTTAATTAACCTTTTAGGCCTTTTATTGTTTTATCTCTTACTCATTTCTGTTGCTCTATTTTATCATTACTATTATCATAATTATTACTTATTATTTTATTATCATTGTTGATATTGTCTTTTATATTTACTATCCTGTTACTGCTTTCGACCCCCCTTTTGATTGCATTTTCTTTTTCTTAACTATTTTATATTTTTATTTCGGTCCTCATGCTCTCATTTTATGTTGCATGGTTCTTGTATTGTGACATGAAAGTAGCCTTCAATTCAACCACAGTATGTGCTCTTCAACTGAGTTTTGACAGGACAAGTGAAGGCAACTTTAAGCTCCCTTTAACAAACATGTATGTATTTACCCTTTCTGACCACTGGGGGGCAGAGTAGACTTATTATCCAGACCTCAGAGGAATGCCAGAGTGAAAGACAGCCAGCTGACCAAGTAAACACAAACCAAAGGTCATGGGTCTAAACTCATCAGTGAAAACAGTGTTATGTAAAATTTGCTGGCCGCTGATGGAGGAGTCTCAGAGTATCAGGGAGGCCTGAAGTTCAGCCAATGCAACAGGTGCTCTGCTGTCATCTGAATGCCAGTAACTGCACTAGGATGGTCAACATGAGGGTCAACAGCAACAACAGGTGTCACAGTCCCCTGTGTTAACTAATGAGATACTTACACATTGAAAAAGCTGACAGGCATGAGGAAGAGGAGCCGTGTGCCAAGGTAATTTGTTGTCTGAGCGTGATCGGCGTGATCGCTCTATTTGTGTGCGAGAGGAAGCTCACCTAGACCAGCGCCCTGTCAAACATCCTCCAACATGTGTCCCACTTTACTCAGATGCCTGTGAAGTCAGGGGGTCTGGTTGGATGATGACCACTCCAGGACCGTCTCAGGTTTCTGACCAAGGGGTCCAGGTAAATTTAGTACTTTGCTGTCCACTCGCACATGGCAGTCAGACTCTTGACACCCTCGCGGAGTGAAGACGCGACTTCTAGATCAGACCAGACTTTGGGGGTTTCACACAAATCTACTTGTTTTAGTGGAATCGACTCCTACCAGAGTCCTTCACGGCATGGAATCATGATATCAGGCGAGGATGATGAAGATTTGGATGAAGCTGCTGAGCAGTACGCCGCTGACACCTGGAGCTGGGTAAGGTGGTTTGAAAGTGCATGAAGGAAAACTTACTAAATTAATCGACTTCATGTTGAGAAGACATTTTTTATTTTCCTGAATCTGACATGTGTTCAATCAAATCTGCGTTTGTATGACAAGGATGAAAACGCAAAAATTATATTCCTGTTTTCTATTTCATCGAACAGGTTTTTAAAGTGTAAGCTCGGCCTAAGCGACACTTAGATCAGGGAGTGTGTTAAAGTAATCACCCCTGAAAGACGATCTTCTCAGATTAAATCCTGGGTGGAGAAAAAGGGAGTAAAGAAGAGGGTGTGGGATGACCTGGTGGAGCAGGTGATCTTGTCATTCCTTCTGCTTCATTTTTAAGTGATTTTGTAGAAATTGGAGCAAAACAAAACAAATTCAGTCATAAATTAAGCTGCAAGTGCACTTTTGGTCACATTTATTCACTGTCTTCCTTTTATTTCTTCCGAGTAAAGTAGCTGGACTTATTTAAAAAATGTTCCTTCTCATTTTTTCCTCTTTCTGAAGCCCTAAGTCCACCATAATTTCCAAATCTGAGAGTGCTTAAAACCTTCTCTGACTCTCATAATCTTACTAATCCAGAACAAAGACATTTTTTCCTTTTAATCACTGTATCAGGGTTTGGCAGTTATACAGCTAATACTCCGGTCAGGTCTTATGACTGTCAGGCCAGAGCAGCCAGAGCCAATCAGCGGCCTTGATATCAACCAAGTGTGAAGATTATGCAACGAATCTGCAAAAAAAAAAAAAAAAAAAAAAAAAAAAGACAGAAAAGAAAAGCATGCCCTTGCTGTGGAAACTGAGCAGAACAACTGCTGCTTTTACTCCGTTTTTTGCACAGAGAAATTTAGACTCTCTTGTTGCTGAAAACTGATGAGGTGTCACACCTGAGTGCATCAGGACGCTTTAGTTTGACAGTCCTGTTATGCAGGTTTTTCTCTCACATATTCAAAAGCAGTCTATGAATCAATCAAATATTCCTGGGAGGATATGCAGGTGTTACGTAAACAAACTGTTCGAACGCTCAGTCAGCTCACAGTGACTAAAAGGTATCCAAACTTGTGGTTGGCTGTCGAGAATGTGAGACCACAGCAGCTGGACACACCTCCGAGCACAGTGGGTGAACTTTTGGTGCTAAATAAGGTCAAATCACGAGTGGCACACTAAGCTGTTTTAAAACCGAGGAGAAGCATGTAAAGTAAGGTCGATGTGCTTTATAAACAGAGAGAAAAAAAACTGGATGGTTCTGTTTTTATTCAGCTGACTGATGTTGATGAGCAGATTGGTGACATTCTCATATGTCAGCTTGTTTTTCGTACCCTGATACTGGTCACAACACTGACCATACATGTAAGATACCAAAACGCTATCATGTGCTGTTTGAATCAAGAGCGCCGTGGCGAGTCCAGCTCTTCCTGGCAAAGCAGCTTGTTCTTAGAAACATGTTCTGAGCAGCTGTATGGATCATATATCACCGGAGAATTCAGAGACTCTGGTCTGAGGGCAGCCTACGTGTAGCTGTGAACTGACAAGAGTGAAAATGTCATATTTAAAGGGATATTCCGGAGTAAAAATAATTTAGGGCCAAACACACCGTAACACCGAGTTAGATACCCCCTTGAGAGATGAATGTTGCCGACCGCTTGCTTACGGCGTGTTACGGCGTGTTTGGCCCTAACTTAATTTTACGGCGGAATATCCCTTTAAGGAAATTTGTAAAGAGAAGTGTCTTATAAAATTTTGATTTGCGAGGTTAGCATCTTTGGCCTTCTTAGTTCTTCTTAGTTTTGCACTAACACTTAAAATCCAATGCTGATTATGCATTTTAAGTTTTATTTTACATTAATCCTTCTGTAGTAAATTGAATAATACTGCTCAGTGTTTGTTGAGGCTGCAGGTTTGTGCTCAAGACAAAGTTCCCAGAATACGAAATGAAACCAAACTCAAAGGTTTGAAGCCACAAAAAGACCCACAGACGGCCTCAGCAGAGCAAAACCAGACAGATACTACGACACATTTTGATATGAGCTGCTTCTTAAAGCTTACAGGAGCCGTGCATTTTAATGACAGACCCACCAAACAAAAATACACATTCCTCTTGCTTCTGGTTTGGTCCGCAGAGACTTCTTCTCTTTTCCAGTCTGGAAAAACAGTTAAGCTCCCGTGCACACCCACTTTGAACTGGCTCTTTTCGTAGAGGAGCAGCAGCACGTGAGCTTGTTGTAGCGTGTAGCCTGTAAACGATTTGCTGGGAGGTCCACCATGTAGAGAGTTTTTCACTGTCATAATGTTGGCAGTTTTCCAAATTTTAAACATACACAGAGGGGAGCTGAGGCGGGGAATTCGCTGAAGATTCAGGTCATAAAACCTGTTAGACTTCGATTCAGACTTGTGTATAAGTGAGGTTATAATAGATGAGAAAATGAGCTGGAAACCGAATATCAAACATATACAGACCAAGTTATCAAGAAGCATTTCAGTTTTAAACAAAGGAAAACAGGTTCTGGATCATAAATCACTCAGTATCCTATACTGTTCCATTGTCTTACCATAGATTTGGGGAAATAACTACAAGAGTTCAATCAATTCACTGATTATTCTTCAAAAAAGGGCAATACAGGTCATTCTTAGGCTATGTTCAGACTGCAGGTCAATTCCCATTTTTTAACCATCTGTGACACATATCTGATGTTTTCATCTAAGTGTGAACAGGTCAATTCTGATTTGTTCTAATCCAACCCAGGCCATTTCGTTTGTTTCGTTAGATTTGTTTTGCAGTCTGGAGAGAGGCATTTCGAGCGTTCTGCACGAACATTAAAAACACAGGACACATGCAGCAGACAGGTTAAAAACAGCACAGACCAAAGACACTGACAGGTACTCCCACTGGGGAGTCAAGAGAATAAATAAGATAATAAACAAAAGTCATTGGATATCACTAAAATGCCAGTATGACCCTGTTAAGAGCATGCTAAAAACATCAAAGTCTGATACAAAGGACAGTAACTACTAATAAATAAAATAATAAGTTAATTAAGACCACGTTAGAAAAAGACAGACCACACAAATGGAAGTGGATTGTGTGAATAACATGATTAACTTTTTGTCATTTGTTGTTGTATTCTTTACTTTTTTATTATTATTTTATACAAATAAATTTAAATCAATCAAAGTAATAGTAGGTTAGGGCTGTATCAGGACGATGCATGTTTAGTCTGATGTGAGGCAAACATTTAGAGAAATGTAGGTCTACCTCAGCTCGGTGTAATTATTCATTAACTCTATGTCTGTGTTTGTCTGCTGACTCTAAATATTGGTCTTCCCCTGCTGCTGCTGCTGGCTTCAGTCAACCACATCCTCTTGACTCACAGTTACACTACAGGGTCTCAGGTTAAACTGCCAACATCGCATGTGCTCTCATGCTGGGCTGTGATTGGCTGGAAACATCACCTCACTGCATCAGGCTGACTCGGGGACTTCAGACGACAGACGGTGACGTAGAGCCGCTGGTCACCGCAACTCGTTTAGTGAAATTAGTCATAAAGTGTGATAAGTATTACATTAGAATATATGTGTTAAAGCTCTTTTACTGTTTATCATCATATATTTCAATCACAATCGGTTATAGTGATAAACTTTACTGATTTTCTGTCACAATCTTCGACATAATCTTCATACAATCCGTTAAAACTCCGGATTTTCCCTTTTAAAACACCATTTTCATGTATAACATACGTCTTTCTGTTTGTGGCAGTAATTTTGCTGCCACTGTGGCAGATGAAACCCTCAACTCTGATTGGTCGGTGGGCGGGTCTTAGCTGCAGGTGATGTCACCAACAGACAAGCCTCCTCGAGAGGGAGAGTGGGGGGGATAATGTGTATCGGGTTGACTTCGTTATTAGTCTGTATTATGTCGGTGTGAAGTCCGTGACAACAACCCAGACTTTTACTAAACACTTTAAAAACACCGAGTTTTGGGGATTTCCGCCTCTGAAATGTCGCGTCTGAGCGCCGGTCACCGCTGAGGAAACGCCAAGCTCCGTGTGTTGGTTAAAAAGCTGTCAGACTCCACAGCTATACAAGGTATGAGCCTATTTTTATTCCAAATATGACTGCACCTGACTGTCTTATGTAATATTTAATGTTTGGACTTCATATTCCGTCTATTTCACCTTTTTTTAATCACTAACATTGAGCTCTTTTGCCATTTAACATTCATTTACACCTAATATTTCAGATATTTCACCCCTGACAGGATGTTATGAGTCAGCTGTACGTGATTTAAAAATGTCTCTCCCTTTTAATATGTGTCTTATGTAAGAAACAGGTATTGTAATGCATCCTAAATTGATTTAATTATACATAACCTGTATGTCCCATTTGCAAATGCTCTTATTTTGTATTATGAGGCATGTGATTCAGATTGGTGGGACATGAGACTCTGTATTTTATTCCAAACACATCACAGAGGTGAAAACACAGATCAGCCCTGCAAGATTCCTGCCTCCAAGGAAATCATCATAACTGCAGCCTGTAAAATCCATGACAGTAACGAGCGAACACGAGTTATATCTCCTTTTTTTTAAACAGCCACTCTTCTGTGAAGCCGAGCAGAGCCGTCTGTGTTCTCAGACACCCTTCCTCTTTTCTTGTGTCATCTATAACACAAGAGGAGCTATTTTTAGACGGGGCCGTGTTCACATTAAAAGTCATCCGCTTTGATAATCAGCAGGATTTTGCCAGCGGCTCTGTAACCCAATCCTGCAGTGAAAAGTGAAATGAATAATTAAAGATAGTGAAGGTCGTCCTTAAGAGTGTCTCAGGATACAGACAGACTTCTGGCTCCTCACATACATCTGCTGCTTTAATTATGGAGCCATATACTCTCCCGTATAGGGGGCTGTTGTAATGCTCACGTGTGCTCTGGATAGGGGGATATGTTGGCATTATCCCAAGCTTGTCCTCCTTGTTGCTGCAGTCATCTGGGGGGCCCCATTACCATCCAAGGGAAGGTCAGAGCCCCTTTACTGATACAAGACAGCTGCAAACTTGTACGATCTGTAGAAAAACACATGTCATTTCAATCTGTAGTTGTTTTCATAACAGATACTGTCATTTTATCTTATTTACCTCCTTTAAAGTGAAGCTAAATTGTTTTCCTGACCTATTTTTGCAATGTGATTGATTTAGCGGATCAAATCAAAGACAGGAACATAAAGAAAGGAGCAACACCAGAGCTGAGGAGTCAGGCGTCAAATCGAATTACATATATTCACCATGAAGTTGTTGTGTATCTATGCTCATTTAATGAATAGCTTTCAAACAAAAACAGATTTTTTAACTTTATTGATATTTTCCATATACAAAGCATGTTGAAAAATAATGAAAGTCATGATATATACCCCTCTCTCCTCACCCACCCTCCCCCTTAGGAGGCAAATAAGAAGGTAAACAACAAAAGCTATAGATAAATATAGTTCACCGAAATATATTAACAGTGTTAGAAGGAGTGAGTGTATGAGCTAAGAGCCAAAAAATTAAGTGAATAGATAAAGGAGGAGAACTATAAATAATAAAAAAGATCAAAAACAAAGATTAAAAAAACTAAGATTTCTATTATCTGCACAGTATTTCCAGATAATAAGTGACAGCATTTCTCACCGATTCCCCAAACTGCTATCTCATACATACAGGGATCAAGCAGCAAAAACAATAACAGTTTTTCACTGGTTGATGGAGATACTAACTTAATTCTAGCCTGTTTAGAGTTGTCCCTATTCGGATACCAGCATTAATACCAGCCGATGATACTGGTAAAAACTGAAATATCACGTATCAGTCAGTAAATATGTTTCCAAACAACAGCAGTGTGATTCCAGCTCAGGGTGTCGGTCAGTATTCTTCTCTTCAATAATATGTACATTTTTGTAATCCTGCTGTCAGTATATCACTGAGTCATGATTGTACTAACAGCAGCCACAGTCTGAAATGCTGACTCAGCCTAACTTTCCCAGCAAGAGGCAAAAAGGTGCAGTTGAGGAAGGCCTTTAGTCTCGAATAATGAGGGGTGTCCCGATACAACTTTTTTACCTCCGATACGATAATGATGTTGTTGCCTTCTATATCGGCCGTTACCGATATTTAGCTGATGTTGGCACAGACTTGTGCATGACAAGTTTTGCAGTCAGCTGTAATGTCTTTTTTGGACTTTCATGAAAAATACTGCCACAAGGCCGACATCACTCCTACTCCTTGCTACTTTGTTAGTACCTTAGTACACGCTGTTGTTGTGATAATGTGGGCGCTGCTAGCTAAAGGTGCCAGAGTGGAGTCTGGAATAGACTGCTTGTATCGGAGTGCTGATATCAGAGATTTTAGATGCAGGCCGATATATTCTGATATCTTTTTTTTGGCTGATATTGGACTGATATCAATATTGCATCTGGACAGACCTACTAATAATGCAAAGTTGATCATCTTAATATCCTCAAGATTACTTGTATTAAAAATTCACCTCCTGCACAGCGTAGGAAGATTGATAAATGAGCTAATCTGAACCAAATCACTTTTACTCCTCCGCATGTTTACATTGCTATGAAAATGGACATTTTGTATGGATGTGTTTGTGGCTTTTAGGCTTTTGGAGTCAGCCTCTAGTGGACACTCTTGGAACTGCAGTTTTAAACACAAGTTTTAATTTTAGCCAATCAATGGTTAATAATTACGTGATTTACGGAGAGAAGTTTTTGGATATTAGACGTGAAAGGAAAAGATTTGACTGGAGAGCGAGGAGGACTTTGAGTGTATCTATAGTCTACAGTGAGACCGGTACACCGCTGTAACCTTAGCCCACTGCTTTTGTAAGAATATCCGACGACCTTCATGACATTTGCATTGGTAACATTTGAATCCACAAGTACATAATTCAGGTATAAGATCCTGTGAGATCTCAGCCAATAAACTTTGTCCAAGGTGATGACATCACCGTCACTACAGCAGTAAGACTGGTCTAACTTAGTTTGGCCTTTGACCTCGGCTGTCTGCAGTCGCTGAATGGAAAACAGGTGGATAGGATTTCCAGACTTATCAGGATACAGAGGAGAGGGTGCCAAGGTCCGCATTCTCGCAGTATGTAGGACACGGACTGTTCTGGAGAGGGCTACCAAACCCGGTTTATGTCAATCAGTGAGGGTCCGAGTCGACCTCGGATCAGTGTTGGAATACCTTCACCTCAGGCCGCCTGAAGAGGAGTTGGAGGTGTGGTTTGATTGACAGATGGAAGAATGCCGGATCATAAACACCTCCTTGTTTGAAGGTTGTTTGAGTCCGAGTCATGTTCTTGTCAGTTCTTGCGATTCCTTCTGTCCGTAATCCGCCACGGAATTCGCCTTACAAACAGATCCGGTAGGAATTGACAGACGGCGGAAATTGCTCCCGTTCCAGATCGGAATTGTTCTGGATGTGGTGAAAATTGGGGGTTACAGCTAAATTGAGTGTGTTATTATTCCATACAGAACAATTTATTTCCCTTTTTCAGAAACTAATCATTTCGAGTTTTCACCCCCAGACCCGTCAGACCATGAACTACGTGGGCCAGCTGGCAGGCCAGGTCTTCGTCCAGGTCAAAGAGCTCTACCGAGGCCTCAACCCCGCCACCCTCTCCGGCTGCATCGACGTTATCGTCGTGAGACAACCCGATGGATCCCTGCACTGCTCGCCTTTCCACGTTCGCTTCGGGAAGATGGGCGTCCTCCGCTCCAGAGAGAAAGTGGTAAGGAGATCAACTAAGAATCCTACTAAAGTCGTATCCTCTCAGACACATGAGGATTAAGGCCTTTCCCACCTTGTGTCCTTGTCTCCTTCTCCTCCAGGTGGACATGGAGATTAACGGAGAACCTGTAGATCTACATATGAAGCTCGGGGATAACGGTGAAGCCTTCTTCGTGCAGGAAACAGAAAATGATCGGGTATGAATCACCGTAATTATCTTATAGCGGGTATTCAAAGTGCGGCCTCTGTGTGCAAAATTCAAATATAAACAAGCTTCCTCCTCCCTCCTGACGCCCTCAAAGCGTAGTCGCACCCGTGTTTACAAGTGGTAAGAGTGACTGAGCGATCCTGGCTCTTACACACAGTCACAGTTTGAACAAGGTTGAGCTGTGTGCAGAGTTGGCACGGTGACCAGGAATTTCTTTTTTCTCCTTTCCTTTTAGACTGAAAAGCACATTCCTCTGTGCATTAGAGAGTGAACGCAGCAGTAACTCACTCAGGCTCCCTGACCTATATATTACATACAGGGACCAAGCAGACTTTCACACAAACAAATACTCTCACACCGACTCTCTAAGTAGGACACGTCGACTTTTATTAAAGGAGACAAGTTTGAAAGAGTGAATAAAAAGTTTGAAACTCATGGAAAACTTTTTAAACTTTTACTGATTAAAGGATTCAAGACACACATTCCTTCATCAGAGATACGATCTCTCCCTTTTGTATGTACATGAGAGCGTGTGCAGCTGAGGGGCACAAACAAGCGGTAAACTTCTGAGGCACCAGCGAGGGAAGTGGGTGATTTATCCTCCCCAGAGAGGTGTCAGATTCCCAGGCCTGGAGGGGAAGTTTTAAGGGAGGAGGAGGATTGTGTCTGTGAACCCCTGTTTTTTTTCCCTCTCTCTGCAAAAGGAAGCCAAAAACGTGAGGGAGCATTGTCCGACCACAAATCACGTGATGAAACCTCAGGCTTTCTTCTCCTCCTCCTCCTCCTCTCCCTCCTGGAAATCCTCCTCTTTTCCTAGAAGGAGATATTTTGCCTCTTTTCACAGAAGTCAGGAACAAGTTTTGGTTTAGCCGCCTCTCTCTGTGGTTCACAGAAAGTCAACTCAAAGCAGACAAGCCTGCAAACAGTTAGGCAGGGATTGTGCAAATCACTCCCAGATTTGTCCCAGATTTGATTTGAATGTTTATTCGTCTTTACTCGTTTATTTCTCTAACTGTAAATCCCTTTTTTTCTCTCCTCCTTCACCATTTAGGAAGTGGTTCCCTCCTACCTGGCCACGTCTCCGATCTTATCTGACGGGGTCATCATGATGAGCTCCTCCTTGATTGGAAAGAGCTCCGGCCCGTCCATACAGACCCTGGGCTCCACGGGGATCACGGGAGAGAGCGGCGGCGTGTTGATGAAGAAGAGGAGGAAGAGGAGGAGGAAGGCCAGGGCCGACAGCTTGAGGAGGGAGGAGAGCGGGGAGTACTCGGAGGACGACGACATGTTTACCATCGATATAAGCTCTGATGAAGCAGAGATGGAGAGGTGAGGGGGAGAGAAAAGAGAAGTAGTCCACGTGAGCGAGAGAAAAAGGAGAAGAAAAGGGAAGCTCTTAAAAAACCATCATACATCAGTGAAACGAGCTTTCAAAGCAGCAGACCTGAATAAACACACCGGCGTCTGCGCCGCTGAAGCCTCCAGCTGTGGCGCTCGCACATGCACACACTAAGAAGACATTAGAAGACGGCGTTAAAATACACACCACGTCAGCTGAGCGGTTTTTACTGGAAGCTTTGCATGAGAAAGAGGAAATATTTCCCCCTCTGTGTTATATTTAGTCCAGGAGCGCACGTTTCACGAGAGTACAGCGAGTCAGCCTTGGGTGTGTATTTGATCCTAAAGAGAGCAAAAGGAGGTCAGGCACGCAGCTATAGGAGCCGTGTCGACCCTCCAACATACAGTTGTCGATGTCAGAGTCCATTCATCATGAATGAAGGCCGAGCAGATGGATTTATTTTCTTCTCTCTGCACGTGAGACAGAGATCCGTTACAGCTGAAATCTAGTTCATGTCTTATTTACACTCCTGGAACAAAAATAAACATGTAAATCCAGTGTAAACAATCTGTGTGACAATCTGTTTCAATAAGCTGAGTTAACCTGAACTGAACCAGAAGACTCGACTCAGGGCAGACCAATTCAGGGAACTCAAGGAGATTAGCAAAATGGTTAATTTTACTTTAATTACATAAACATAGGGCTGGGCGATAAACCGAAAATTTACTGATACTGAAATTTACGACAATAACCAACGTCATTTTGCTCATATCCGTGTTTGGTGTCCAAAAACGAAATAAATCAAAGTTGGATTTGGATGTGTGTAAGTAGGCTATGGTCTCATGTCCCTTTTAGAGACGTGACTCCACCCCATCCAGTCTGTAACAAAGAGGGAAAGACAGGTGAGGAGATGGAGGACGGTTCAAAAGTTGGAGCAGCTGAAGTAGACGAAGTTAATGTGGGAGGGGGTGAGCAGCTTGTGGAGAAGTTATCACCCATTTATCGTCATATTTATTGATATTGATTTGAGGCCATATCGCCCCGCCCTAATTGACACTTAAAAAAGACTAGTAGTGACTGGAGGCTTTAGACTTGATGTTTGTTTGTTCTGGTGTGATTAAGACCTGTGATTCATACTGACTCCTCTGTGTTTCAGGACTTCATCTCGGGACATCTTAAGAGATGAAACAGCCGTCGGTTCGAGCAGCAGCTCCGTCAAACAGAGCGGCATCTACACTCGTTCAGATGGAGACTGGAGTCCCATTCAGAGGTGATTTATTTGCTTCCACGGCGACGATCAATTCTTATTTTCCAGATTAAACGGTCCCTCAATTTATTCTCCGTCCTCTCTCAGCCCTGGAAACTCTCGTCCCGGCTCGCCCAAGAGCGACTCTGAGCTGATGACCGAACCGTCGGACACGACCAATCAGAATCCAGCCATGCACTGGGCGTGGGGGGAGCTGCCTCAGGCTGCCACGGTAACCAAAGTTTACACTTTACATTAGGGGTGTCCTGATATGACTTTTTGACTTCCGATACAATACCGATATTGTATTCTGATCCGATATTGGCGCAAACTTGTACATGACAAGTTTTTCGGACTGTAACGAAAAGTACTGCCACAAGTCCGATATCACTCTTACTCCCTGCTAGCGCTGATATCTGAGATTTTATGCTGTGTTCGAGTTACCTCGAAAGTCAGAAGTCCAAACTGAACATGACGTCACACCTGAGTTCCTGGTGTTTCAGTTACCAAGTCGGAAAAAAGCAAAATCTGAGGCGAAAACAAGATGGCTACATCTACGAAGGTTATTTTAGCGCTATGTCGGAATAGGCAAGTGCTAAAATAACTTGCTTTTTTCCGACTTAAACACCGGGAACTCAGGTGTGACGTCATTTTCAGCTCCGCCATCTGACCTCTGAGGTAACTCAAACGCAGCATCAGATGGAAGCCGATATAATCCGATATTTTTTTTTTTTTTTTTGCTGTTTTTATTTTTGACTCTCTTCCCTGTTTTTCCAGCCCTCCTTCCTCCCAGTCAAGTCCGACCCCCCACCAGTTTGCCCAGTATCCATCCCAGTGTCTGAAAGCACGCACTTCAGAGTCATAACTCACGAGACGTCCTCACAGCAGTGCGCGCCCCGCTCCGAAGTTTCGCCGTCACTCAGGTTACAGATGCAGGAGGAGCGCGCTCAGTGTTCACAAACCGTGTTCACGGTTGGGATGGAGTCAGAGGCCATGGCTGTGGAGTCGCAGACTGTTGTTACCACGGAGACGCAGGTTACAACAATCGGTGGGGCGGCGGCTTGTATGATATCAGAGATGGAGGAGACGAAGACTCGTCTGCTGAGCAAGACGGACTCGCCGTCCAAGAAGAAAGGTAACATTCACGGATTTTGTAATGACCTTTAAAACCGAGATTTAAATACAACAAACAAGTTATCGCTCTATTTTTAGACAAGAGGAGCCGCCATCTTGGTTCTGACGGCATCTACCTGGATGACATCACAGACCTGGAGCCTGAAGTGGCCGCTCTTTATTTCCCAAAGAGGTATTTAGAGTCACATGATCACAAACACAGAGGAAACATGTTCGGAGGGTTCATGTTGTTAAAAACACTCCTGTGATCCTGCAGTGAGAGCGGCGCAGCAGTCAGGAGTATCTCAGACCCGGGTCTCCACAGCAACAGCCTGTCCCCGCAGTTCATCAGCTCCGGAGGGGACAGCGGGGTGGACAGCTACTGCGACAACATGGCCGACCTGCCGGCCATCACGATTTCTCTGTGTGGGGGACTGAGCGACAACAGGGAGATCACGAAAGGTGAGACGGTGACGCTGTCAGCTAAACACACGAGCAGTGTTCACGCACAGAAATATAAATGTGTGTTTGTGTGTGTGTGTGTGTGTGTGTGTGTGTGTGTGTGTGTGCTTACAGAGCAGTTCCACGAGAAGATGATCTCATATCAGCAGTTTGCCGAAAACCCCTCGATCATCGACGACCCCAACTTGGTGGTGAAAATCGGCTCAAAGTAAGATGTTCATCTTGGTCTAAATAAAACTTTAAAAGTTAAATGTGACTTTATGATTTATAAAACCTTTTACCCCCAATTTCCACCGCATCCGGAACAGCTACGAAAAAGTTGTATCTGCCGATTGTAGCTGATCGTAACCATTCAAGTTAACATGTCAATTTCCACCGACTTCTTCGGATCGCCGGATAAATTCAGCACAGATTAACCCGTGCTGGAAAGGAAGTCGGGCACAGAGACAAAATAAAACATCCGGCTTCTTTTCAAAATAAAACACTCCGTGTTTCAGGAGGATCGTATTTCACACCATGCAAACGGGCGGAGACGAACAAGTGAAAGGTTTTTAGATATATAGATATATAGATAGATAGATAGATAGATAGATAGACTTTATTGATCCCAAACTGGGAAATTCTCAACACATTGTCAGACGTCATTTCACCCCGATGACACCATGGATGAGGAGATGCTGATTCTAGACCTCTAGAAGTAGATTTCCTCCTCTGGAACGACACAATCTACTGCTTATATGTCTATGTGTCTGTCTTTATGAAGACAACTTGTTATCGCACGATTACACATGAATCCTCGGGTTCTTGTCTGTAATCCGCCACAAAATTGGCGTACGGCAAAAATCGAGCCGTTCAAGATGCGGTGGAAATCCCGGGTTATTACGTTTAAGAATGTCTTTTTTTTCCTGTGTTTTTATTTCCCTCTGCTGTTATGAAACAGATTTTAAAAAAACCCGACGTTGCTGTTTTTCCTCCTCAGGTACTATAACTGGAGCACCGCAGCTCCTCTCATGTTGGCCATGCAGGCCTTCCAGAAACCTCTGCCAAAGGTGAGACATGAACACAGACACTCAGATCAGATACTCCTGACTCAGACTCGCCTGGTTACGGCTCATGATTTCCCCTTGTGGCCAAAAGTGGAACTGCTTCATAAATCTCTGCATGCTCTTTTTACATTCATGACAGGAAACATAATTAATAACTAATAACATCACATGTTGATGTTTTTGTTATTGCAGATAAAACACTGAATCTGTTTGTGTTTCTCTGTTACCCTCTTTATTTCACTTTCATTCATTCATCGGTTAGTCTTCTTGCCTCAGTTATCTTCACTCTACCTTTGAGTTTTTCCTCTGTTGTCTGACCGACATGCTCGGCTTCACCTCCGTACGTCTAAACACCTCTCTATCTCACGCTCTCTCGGCTCCTCCCTCCACTCATCATCTTCTCCTCCTTCCTCATTCTTCCTCCTTTTATCAGACTCTTCATCTCAACACGCCTCCCAGACACACATGCTTTCTCTCTTTCCTCATTCTCCTCACCGACATGTTGTTGTTATTATTGTGTTGATTTCTAGTTTTGGCTTCAGTTTTTTAAGTGTTGTGTTTGGGGTTCGTGTGTGTGTGTGTGTGTGTGTGTGCTCCTCGCAGACCGCGGTGGAGAACATCATGAAGGAGAAGATGCCCAAGAAAGGAGGGAGGTGGTGGTTCTCCTGGAGAGGCAGGAACAGCAGCTCTAAATCGGTATTTCTCCTCTTCTTTGTGGATCAGATTTGATCTCCTGAAACGTCGCTTTCACTCTTTTCTGAAAACGTTTCTTCTCCTGCAGGAGTCGGCGTGCGGCTCCGCTGAGCAGGCGGGGATTATGACGGGCAGGTGAGGAACCACAAAGGGTCAAAAAGAGGTCAAACATCCTCTCTGTGAGGACCGAACCGTCTCTAATCAATCTTCATCATCACAGGCGTAAAGAAGAGTCCTCCTCCAGCGATGAAGACCACAGGGCCAACCTGAGCTCCAGCCAATCAGAGTCCGGGAACGTGTCGTATAAGAAAACACTGCGGCTCACGTCAGAGCAGCTGGTGAGGAAAACACACAGAAAATCACCTACTGTTGCTTTATCACAGTCAGACTTTAAGGTTTCCTCTTCCTCTCTCTCTCCTCTCTCTCTCTCTCTCTCTCTCTCTCTCTCTCAGATGTCTCTCCAGCTGCAAGAAGGTCCGAACGATGTCGTCTTCAGCGTGACCACTCAGTACCAGGGAACCTGCCGCTGCCAGGGGACCATCTACCTCTGGAACTGGGACGACAAGATCATCATCTCAGACATTGATGGAACCATCACCAGGTGAGTGAGAAACATGCACCAGGGCTCGACGGTGCGACCGTTTCACTCATATATGGGACTAAAAATAGATGTAAGCGAACTGTAAAATGTATTTAGGGTCACATTTGCGTGTAAAAAAATTCAGACATTTTGTTAAATCTGATCTTTTTGTGCGGTCGTTCACATTACAACAACGAATCACTAAAATAAGTTCACTGAAAAGATTCGTTCAAAAGATTCGTTCACCAAATCACCGAATCATGTAGTGCTTGGCGGGACGAGCCTGCGACTCCGACCTCTTGAACTGATTCACGGCTGAACGGTTCAGGATTCGGTTTCTGAGACCGGGAGACGAGAGTTTTTGTCTGTGTTACTTAAACAGGTTTGTAAAAATTAACTTGTTTATAAGTCATGATGTTGTAAATGTACTGTCCTTTGGTATGCTATTTACCATTTGTTACATGCTGTGTCCTTTTGTATGCAAGTTGTTGTGGTGACAATTTAGCAGCAAAAAAAAAGTTTGTTTTGTCCGACAGAAATGATTCCAGAGAGTGAAGTTCAATGCGTGATTCGTTCAAGTGATTCAGACGTCGGTGCATGCGGTCCCTCGTTCGACTGCCAATGCTGTTTCTCACTTCAGCTCAACTGGAGTGAGAAACGAACGAATCACTCGAGGAAGTGATTCAGTTCAGTACGTTCACTTAAAAGATTCGGTTCTTTTGAACGAATCGTTTGCGAACAACACAACACTATTGGATATTCGACGGACATTCACCGCAGATCTCCTGGTGTCTCCTCACTCTCTAAAACCAGGAATAACAACAGCAGCGCGGTTAGATCTACTCGACACCCTCACTGTCAACGTCGGTGTTGAATAAGGGACCGTCAATAAATTACCGGTTGATGTTCTTAGAAAAGGCTGTTTTCCTTCGATGGCTTCCATGTCATGTGACCAATTGACATAAAATTGATTTCAAGTAATAGTACTCAGGTCGGACAATGAGACAAACATTATTTGATTAATTTTTATTGTGTCCCTAAAGTTCTTTGTGTGCCCCTTGTGAAAAAAGTTTGTGTCTGATGTGACTCATATTTGTTTCCTTCAAGGTCGGACACCCTGGGTCACATCCTGCCCACCCTGGGGAAAGACTGGACCCACCAGGGTATCGCACACCTCTACCACAAAGTCAGCCAGTAAGAACTTGTTAAAAAAAACAAAAGATGCTCCTGGTGACGCTTTTCCATCACTGACACGTTTCCTCTCATCCTAGAAACGGGTACAAGTTCCTGTACTGTTCGGCCCGAGCGATCGGCATGGCCGACATGACCCGGGGTTACCTCCACTGGGTCAACGAGAGGGGCACCATGCTCCCTATCGGCCCCGTCCTGCTCAGTCCCAGCAGCCTCTTCTCGGCCCTGCACAGGTCAGCCACGCAACCACGCATTATGTAAGGATGTTGAGTTTGGCGGCTGTCGTTTCATCCCTGCGGTGTGTGTTTGTGTGTGTTTGTGTGTTTTATAGGGAGGTGATCGAGAAGAAACCGGAGAAGTTTAAGATCGAGTGTCTGACTGATATCAAGAACCTCTTCTACCCGAACACACAGCCGTTTTACGCCGCCTTCGGAAACAGACCCACAGTACGTAGATCAGTCACAATGCAGATGTCTCACATTTAGTCCTAAATAAATCTAGATAGTTTGAATCCTAACTGCAGTTTTCTTCGTCATACTTTTAGGATGTTTATTCCTACAAAGAAGTCGGAGTGCCCCTGAACCGGATCTTCACTGTTAACCCTAAAGGCGAGCTGGTGCAGGAGCACGCAAAGACCAACATCTCCTCGTAAGTCCTGACCCTGGTCTGAACTCTTCCTGTTCTTGGAGTCACAGAGGATAAGTTCTCCTCCTCTCCTCCTCTCCTCCTTCTCCTTCTCTTCAGGTATGTCCGTCTGGGTGAGGTGGTGGACCACGTCTTCCCTCTGAAAATGCGAGCGTCCTCCTCGGACTTCCCCTGCTCGGACACCTTCAGCCATTTCACCTACTGGAGGCAGCAGCTCCCCCGTGTGGACCACCGTGGTACTACACCGCCGCAGAGTCCTTGCCCTGAAAGCTGACTACCTGCAGCCTGATGGTGTTTTTGAAGATGTAGCAGCTGTTCGACTTTAACGATTGAGTATGAACGTGTGGATTCATGTGGAATATGTTGCACTTTTGGTGCTAAAATGCACAAAAACGGATGTATAAGCGCACTTTTATAAAAAAAGACGACCTGTGTCGCCTTCTGACTCGATGTTTGTAAATAAGAAATGATGTTAATTTATTCAGGCAGCTTAGAAAATATGTTATTATTGAGTAAGTGTGGTTATTATCTCTGTAGTCAGACTGTAGCATCTATTATTTAACAGAATACAATCATACTGTGTTCATGTCAGAGGATAACTTATAGAAACTTGTGCCAAATATTCAATATAGATTTTATTTTCCTACTCTAAACTTTTTCAACGTAGACTGTTAAAGCTCCTCCAATCAGAGCAGGCGACGTGTGTGTGTGTAATCTGTGTTTTAAAGTCAGTATTAGATATATATGTATGAGTTTAAATATCTCTGAGCACAGTGAATGAATGAAAGTCCGTGGATTTAATGGTTAGAGGTGCTAAAAGGACGAGAATCCTCTCAGTGAGTGTTTTTATTGTTTTAACCACAAGGAGAAAAAAGCACAAAAACAAACGTCTCTGTTCAAACTGATTTTATTTTTCTACAGAAATCAAACGAGGTGTGTCTTTGGTGTCGTTTCTGTCGTTGCCTTCGTGATTTCTTTTTCAAACTTCATTTGATCGGGTACTGATATATGAAGGTAACGAATCATCTCTGAAAGTCCTCCTCAGTTTTAGAGACGACATCAGTCATAAGATCTTTACGTGACAGGAATAAATCATCATTATAATATAACAGGAGGTTGGAGTATCTGATGTGTATATAATGCTTTAAAGTTGTATTTATTCTTTCCATGAAAGAACAACAAAGTGATCAATAGTTTGTTAATTTACTCGCTTCAATCTTTGACCAGTTCACTGTTAATCAAACTCAATAAAAAGCCTTGAAACGTGACAGAGTCTGTGTTTGTGTCTGTTAGCTGTTGTATTTACTTTCTTTAAAGAGCATGAACTTATCGAAATAAATGTATTCATAATACTCAATATTTCATCACAGTATTTAAACCTAAATTCATGTTTTCTTTTGTTTTTCATCACCTCTTCATTCAGCAACCATCTGCAAACGTTTAGAGTTTAATCTTATTTATTTTTATTTTATTTATTAATCTTATTTTTTTAATGCGCCTGTCAGGAACATTTGATTCACCTCGATTTTGGCGCCCCCTGTGGACAAAGTCTCCATTGCTGATCTTGTGCTCGACATGCTTTTACAAACATTTTCATCATTTGTTAGGAATATTTTCTTTGCAGATGTAATAATAATAATAATTTAAAAATTATAATAATAATAATAATAATAATTATTATTATTATTATTATTATTATTAAATGCTCTTCTCTTTCACCCTAACAGAAAGTTTTCACAATAACAAAAGTAAAACTTAAGTGTCTCTAGTTCCCTGTTGAGCCGTATTTGGGGTTATTAGAGGGCAGGTCGGGGGGTGGGGGCTGCCCGTTTACTGAGCAGGAGGAGTTTCCGAAGCCCAGCGACACCATTGGCTCGTGCCCCGGGGATGCTGCCTGCATGCACGCGGGGGTTTGATCGAAGAAGTCAGCTGGAGAAGAGCGGAAACTGAAAGTGGAGGAACAGGACGAAGAAGAAGAAGAAGAAGAACACCTGCTGAGGAGTGGAGTTTGTTCCTGCACAGAATGACGAGCTCGGTAAGACTCTTTAACTCAGGTCTGTGTGTTTCTGTCTCCTCCTGGTTCACTTTGGCGTTTCTGTACAAACACAGTTTCAATTTACGAGCCTTTAAACTTTAACTAACGGTGTGAATTATAGAGGAGATGTGAGTTCAGGAGTATCTACAGTATGTTTGTTTTTAGTGGAGTATAAAGTGGAGTAAAGTAACAGAAGTAAAGAGTATTAGCAGCAGAAACTTTGACCCAGTTTCAAACATTCGGTAATCCATCCATCATTAGAGGGTCAGAGTACAACAGAGCCATACAGGGAGCAGATATCAGCTCCTGGGATGGAAACTACTCCTCCAGACATGCTTATCTTTCAGAAACCAACTCTGTCTGACCTGAGAGTGGTCTGGGTAACTATAAACAAACAAGCCAACAAAATATACTGAAAGAAAATACTTGACAGCACTTAAATGATCAGTTTTCTCTGTGTAAAATATAAGTAGTAACAAGAAATACAAGAGGATAAAAAAGAGAAGTAGGATTTAAAATCTGCTGTTGATTTAGGAACTCGTAAAATACTTCCTTTAAAACAGTTTGAATTTTGAAGAAAGTTTGTAAGAGACACTTAAAAGTTTTAAAGCTCCTATAGAAGCCTACTGTACAGACATAGTACCAGCCACCAAACATCTTTTTAACTTTGACTCATTTCTTTAGCAAAGAGACTAAACACAACTCACCTACTCTCTTCCAGCAGCCGCTTGTTTGTAGCGAGACCTCAGGCCAGTTCATTACGGACTACAGCGGGGTGTCGCAGCTCAAGGAAGAACATTTATGATCATTTCTTTATTGAAATACAATCAGACCGAGACGCTAAAGCAGAAGAACTACCGCGTCTGCAGAGAAAAATGATTGATATGGTGATTATTACTTTAAGGAAATGATAAAGAAATGTGTCTCTTTATCTTTGAACAGCTTCAATATGAGTTTCAGTCTGTTCCTTAAATATCAAAAACTCCTCACAGGAGCTTTTAATCATGACAATTAAAGATAAGCAGCTAGTGTGAGCCGGCTGTTTTAGTTTGGGCTAGGGCTGGGCAAGATGGGAAAAAGTTTATCACGATTTTTTTATATCAGTCGATAACGATATATATCACGATATAAAAAACACATTTAACAGTGTTTATTGGTAGCATGTCTTTTGCATCTGTGAGGTCTTTGTGTCTCTTCGACGTTTCGTTGTAAGGCGTTGCGCTAGAGAAAGCTGACTGAATGGTTGGTTCAGCGCGGTGCAGACCCAAAGCAACACCCCTTTTCAATGGCTATTCGTATAGTCTACCAAAACATGGCAGAATGCCGGCTATCGAAAAGCATATTGAACATGTTTCATATCAATATCAAGGGGAATTAATTTTTGATATGTCATTATTGTTTTATCAACCATTCCTAGTTTGGACGAGAGTAAAGAAAAGGAGTTTTGTGCCTTTAATTCTTTTTTCTTTTTTTCTTTATTCCTATACACCTGAGTCACCCCTTTTATATTTTTATTATTTAACTCCACATAACGTTTACATAATTAAAATTGTACTTTAAGTGTGGTTCCCTTGATGATAAAATCATCAACTCCTTCCTTCAGTTTGGTGATTCGGGCAGATCCGGCCCGCTCGATGAGGAGGAGTTGGTGGATATACTGGAGGAGAGGAGGCGCAGCAGTGATCTTGGCCACGCCCTCAGGACGTTCAGCCCCCACCCTTACAAAGGAGCCCCCACCTGCTCCGCGGCGGACCTCAACAAAGCCGTGCTGGAGTCCCAGCATCTGCATTACATCACCAAGGAGGTGGGATGGAGTGATGTGAAGGGACGAATCTGACAAGTTTGAAGCTGCTTCAGTGTAGCTTTAATTTAATTCCTGAATTCCTCTCAGGTTGCCATGGAGACAGGGGCAACAGTGGAGGAGGTGAGGGAGGAGGCGAGCGGGATTCTGGAGGAGATGTCCCAAAACCTTCAGCTGGGGTTCATCAGGCTGATGGGATACCCACTCAGCAAAGTATCCAAGAAGCTCTTCAGGAGCATCTTTGTCAACATGGAAGGACTCAACAGGGTTAGAGGGACGACAACGACTCTCCGAAAACATCAATTTATTACTAAATATTTATCAGACAAAACTGTTGATTCTTCTGTTTTCTTTTAGCTCCAACAAGCCGTCCAAGAAAACCCCGTGATCCTGATGCCCAATCACAGGAGTTATTTCGACTTCCTGGTTATTTCCTACATCATGTTCACCTACGACATCCCAGTGCCTGTTATTGCTGCAGGAATTCGCAAGTATCTATAAAAGTCGAACAGAATAATACAGATATATCTTCTATGACGTCATGTCTCGGGTCAGCACTGTCTTTATTTCTCCCTCTCTTCGCTGTGAAGCTCTTGCAGGGATGAAGTTGGTGGGACGGATTCTGCGTCGCTCCGGAGCTTTTTTTATCCGGCGTGCGATTGGCTCGGACAAACTGTACTGGGCCGTGTTGTCAGAATATGTCAAAACGATCGTCAGGGTAAGACTCCGTGATCTGCTTCTGTGAAATCGAAATCATCGCACTCTTTTTAAAAATGGTTCGATTATATATCCGATCGTGTCCCGCAGAGAGGATTTGCTCCTATGGAGTTTTACGTGGAGGGTCTGCGGAGTCGAACACTGAAGTCTCTCACTCCCAAGTTAGGTAAGAACCTGGACTAGTGGTGGGTGGCGGTACTGCAGTTTAGATTCAACCTATAAAGACTTGCTTAAAGGTGGGGTAAGCAGGATCTGAAGAAGTACCAGTTTTGGGAGAAATCTTGACCAGTTTTCCCCTCAAGCCCCGCCCACAAACAGACGCTCCTGCTCGCTCGTATCGTTCCGATTAAATTCAGATATAATGCAGATAAATACTTCAGATCATTACAAATGGGGCCCAGTCAAGGTGAAAGTCAAAAGCATTGGTGCTACTGTAGATGCCAACAGACTACCAGCAAACACAATGTTTGCAGGACTTCTACAACGAGGATAAAGTGACATAGTCCAGGACCCGAGGGAGGACAGTTTAGCGATGGCGCTACAACACGCTACAGCAGGTCCGTTTGACAAGAAACACTTCTGTTACAGACACTTGTCTTACTTTGTTAAAGCGGTTTACCTGTCCAGCAGAAAGGTTACAGGGTCACCAAGATCCCCAAGCGTCCCCCATCGTTTATGTTGACCCGGCTTTTTAGCTCTTGTCCGGTCTACCTCCGTTTTAAGCGCCCGTTATTCCTCCAGAGTCTCCGGTATTTACTTTGTTCTCTTGCTTGTGTCGGCAGTCGTGGCCAAAGGAGGATTCCGACAATTTTCCGAACTTTCTGGTTGGTTTCTACTGTCCGATATTGTAGCACGCTAACTTTGTTTGGGCTCCTGAACGACACGGGGGAGCAGCGTCTGCCTCACAACCAATCAGGTTAGAGGAGGTGGAGAACGACATAAAAGAACACGGCTATATTGTTATATTCCCAAATGTCATCAATAACTAATAGCTATTGACTGATATTTAAACCTTTTTTTATTTACACTACAAAAAAAAGATGCTTCTGTAACGGACCCCTGCCTACTCCACCTTTTAATGGAACAAAAGTTGATTTTTGCAGGTAAATTACGAGTTTAAAGAAAATAAGTAACAGGGACCAAAGACAGAAAAAGACACTTTCCATAACAAATAAAAATCAGTTTAAACTTTAGTCTCTTGTATCTGCAGGTATGATGAACATGGTCCTGGAGCCTTTCTTTAAAGGTGAGGTCTTTGACATCACTTTAGTCCCCATCAGTCTCAGCTATGACCGGGTCCTGGAGGAATCTCTGCTGGCTCACGAGCTGCTCGGCGCCCCCAAACCCAAAGAGAGCACCACGGTACGTCCCCGTCTCACCGCTCATCGTATAAAACCTTTGTTGTGAGCTTAGCTGCAGAGGCTTCACCGTCAGGAAGCTTTTGAACCGTCTTATACGAAGGTTAATCCTGCTTTCTTAAGTCTGACCATCACCTAATGTTGTCTGAGTTGTAAAAAATAAACTTTAACTCTAAAAACACAAACACAGGTCACAGGAGTTCACACATGTACAAAGCTGATCGTATCTGACACATTAATCACTCCAAGCTTCGCTCTCTCTCTCTGCAGGGTCTGTTGAAAGCCACCAAAGTGCTGCAGGAAGATTACGGCAGCATGTTCGTGAACTTTGGCCGACCTCTGTCTGTTCGGGATTTGTGTCAGGACAAGATAAACCGCTGTCAGTACAACCTCATACCCAGGTAGGCTGCACTTTTAAAACCCGTCTGTGATATCTTATCAGTTTATTGCACTTATGAACCCCAGAAATCACAGGTTGAAGCGAAGATTACAGACAGACCTCAAAAAGTCGAAAACTAGACCAAATGTTTAGTTTAGTTATTCTTGTCCTTAAAATACCCTTCAAACTTTAGGAAAAGAGAAACCTCACTTCTGAAAGTTTTCCCTCAGCCTAGCCTGTGAGGGTTTCCTCCTCCTCCTCCTCCTCCCCCTCCTCCTCCTCCTCTTCTTCTCTTTCATCCGTTCACAGAGACCTCCCTCAGAAGCCCACAGCAGAGGCTCAGGCCTGCGTGAGTTGGCTGGCTCATCTGGTGGTACGGATCCAAGAGGAGGGCTCTGTGATCAGCCCCTGGTCTCTGATGGCCTCCCTGTTGCTCCAGGCTCCGACCGCCGTCCTAACAGAGGAGGGTCTGCCGTGGCATCGGCTCACAGAGAAGACACTCTGGCTCCGGAGGCTGGCGCTGGATTTTGGAGCTCGCTTGAACTGGCCGGGTGTGTGAGGGGATGTTTGCATGTGATATGTATTCAGAACTTTTCTTTCCTGTCCCCTAAATGACCAGCAGGTGGCGTTTTTGCATGTTGCAGTAGGAATGAGGCAGGGAGAGTTAATGCAGAGAAGTACCTGAGTGGGTCCCCTTCTGTTAAATCCTTCAGCGTCTCACCCAGGAGGGTCCTCTGACGCTCTCTCCGGTAGATCAGACAGATTAAAGGAAAGTCAGCCGGCACATGAGCTCAGATTCACTGAGGAGGCGATCAGTGAACTAATGCACTTAAAGAAACAACATATCCTCGAAGGACCCCACTGAAACAAAACACAAACACACTGAAGGCCGTTTCAGGTCTAGAACCACCTAGAAAACCTTTATAATGCTCCGGTTTTGTTCTGCAGGAGGAGTCCCGGACTCTAACGTGATGCAGTCCAACCTGGTCCTCCATCGGTCCGTTGCTCAGCGTAAAACGGGGCGTGTCTACCTCGTTCGGGAGGACGAGCCTGCGAGGAAACACCTGATCAGCCCAGAGGAGGACGCACACAGGACGGCTGCAGCTGTGCTGATGATGGCCTCCTACAGAAATCAGTGTCTGCATATTTTTGTGCGTCCTGCAATGCTTGCAACAGCCATCCACATAACAAAGAGCGGGCAGAAAGGTGAGGCTTATACACAGCTTTCATATTAATGGACCAGGTGGTTTTGAGTTTTAAGGTTTTTAAACACCCTTGTTGTGTTCTAGATGAGCTCTCCACCTTCTTCTGCTTCCTTCAAGACATCTTCTCAAACGAGTTCATCTTCATTCCTGGAAGGTCATCCCAGGTAACAACCGCCGTTCTCAGGGAGAGATCATAAAGAGGATTATTGATCTGTGAAACCATGTTGAAAGTCTTTGTGATGAACTCTTTCAAAGACTCCTTACATCCTCAGGAATCATCTAGAAACACCAGAAACAAACCTGGTTACTAATGTCTGATATCGTGTCCCTCTCTCTTTCCTCAAACCAGGACTTTGAAGAAGCTTGTTTCCTCCTGAAGAAAAGTGGAGCAGTCCACATCAGTCAAGAAGAAGTGACTGTGTTGGACGCTGGGCTGGAGGTGCTGTCCTTCCTGCAGGCACTTCTTCAACCCTTCATAGAGTCCTATCAGGTTCTCTGACTTTTACACCTTTGGATCGTTCAGACTCATCCTGCACTCAGATGAGAGTCGGGTCTCTCAGTTAGGAGTGCAGGGTGGTTTTTAAGCAGCTGCTCTGTCCAGGTTTGAAGTCTCGTACTTTGTTTGAATGCAGAACATTTCTTAAGAGTTTTCTCATCCTGCTCTTGAACTTTGGGCGATTAATCAAATTCACTTTATCACAGAGAAGAGTGGAGGAAATGTTCTCCTCAGGCTCGTACTGCTTTAAAACTTTAAATTGAAGTATAAAAAATCGGCTTTATGTTTCATCAGGTGTGTTTTTGTGTCCAGGTGGTGTTCAGGTACCTTTGTGAAAACGGGCCTCACTCGTTTTCTGAGAAACAGATCATACCCGCTCTGCGAGACTGGACCACAAAGCTAATCCTCTCAGGTAAAAATATAAATCAACAGAGACCAGCTCTGATCTCCGCATTGTAAACTTAGTAATCATGTCAATTTCAGGCGAGCTGCACACTTACGAAGCCCTCTCATCGGACACACAGAAGAACGTTTTGTCTGCCCTCCGCAGGCTGGAGATAGTGACCAAGTCGAGGGCGTGAGTAACAAGATCAGCCCCTGCAAACCTGTTTGGGTTTAAGCTCATTTTCTGAGGTGATTGATAATCTGCCTGTTTCTCCAAAGCCCCACTCATACCTATTAAGTTTCTCTTTCAGGTCTGAGCAGAATGAATTTGGAGTAAACAGAGAAGCTGTCAAGAGAATCGGAGACATACTCTGTAAGTTTTGATACTGAGATGACCTTTGAACGCTCTTTTGTCACTGTTGTGTTAAACAAAAAGCAGTGAGTTACACTTTCCTCCTTTTCCTCTTGCTTTAGCTGGAAAAATCCCTCCACAGTCTCTTCATCCTACACCACTTGCAAGACTTTAGTCCCTGTTGGACCAAATCCATCTTCCTGTTCACCCCAGCCGACTCTCTTTGGCCTTCTTCGGATAATTTTTTTGTGCCTTACAGAAGACATTTGTCAAATCAGGACACCTGAACTCTTCACTAAGACAAATACTCTCTGTCCTAGCAATGACCAGCAGCCATACCAGATCTGGCAGCACTCCCGTCTTTAGCATCTGCTGCTTTGCCTGTATCCTTGTTCTCATCCCTCACACAAGTAGCAGGGCGAAGATTAAACCACATGACCTAACAAGGTGACACAAAGTGGCACATTTTCTCTGGTCGCTGTCACAAAATTGTATTTCTGTTGTAAGTCAAAAGCAACCTGAGATCATTTCATCACAAATTGAAGAAGTAAGTGTGAGGAGGAAGTCGATTTAAAACTCTAAGGAACATGCTGTACTCGAAAGGTTTACCTGTGCCAACTCTGTGCTGGCATGGCTGGAAGCTAGCTAAATTCAGGCTAGCTGCTGCAAGACACACACATAACTTTCTCAAAGTTCATGTCGGCTTACGTTGAATTAAGTCTACTTCTGGAAAACAGCTGACCTATAGTATTTTACAAACATCTTGCCCTCCCCATGCATTATTGTAACTTTAATCATGTAATACATCAAATTTTAGTTTGGAGTTGGTTTGCTAAAACTAAATGAATGATCATAAAGCACTTTATAATACATGTGATTCCAGGTATTAAGCTAATAAGTGCAGTTACAGATTGAAGAGTGATTTTTACGTTAATTTATGCTTTGTAATGTGAATACATGGTAACAATGACAAATATAACTCATTGATGTGAAGTTTCATTTGTGTGAGACATTTTTTTAAAACTCTTACATTTTAATTAATGTAATTCATTAGCAACCTGAGATCATTTTTATCACATGTATCTTAAATAAGTTACTGAGAGGAGGAAGTCGAGTAAAAACTCTGAGGAACATGCCGTACTTTGTGTTTACCTGAGCCAACTCTGTGCTAGCATGGCTGTAAGCTAGCTAAAAACGGGCTAGCAGCTGCCAGATGACAGCTAGTCCGTTTTTAGCATTGCACTCATACTTTCTCAAACTTCATGTCAGTTTAAGTTAATTTAAGTCTACTTCTGGAAAACAACTCATCTGTCGTTTTTAGTATTTTAAATATCTTTCCCTCCCCACGCTTTACTGTAACTTTAATCATGAAATATGTCAAATTTTAGCTTAAAGTTGGTTTGCTAAACCGAAACAAATGATAGATAGATCAATTTCAGGCATTAAGCTACAGTAAGTGCAATTACAGATGAAAGAGTGATTTTTACATGAATTTATTATTTGTCATGTTAATATGGTAACGGTGACAAATATAACTTATCATAACTCATCATTCAAGGTTTACCCGAGCTAACTTTGTGCTAGCTGTTAGCTATCTAAATTCAGGCTAGCTCCTACAAGACGGCAGCTAGCCCGTTTTTAGCATCGCACCCGTAACTTTCTCAAAGTTTAATCATGTAATACGTCGAACTTTAGCTTGGAGTTGGTTTGCTAAAACTAAACGAATGATCAATAGAGCACTTTATAATAAACGCGTTTCCAGGTATTAATATACAGTAAGTACAATTGCAGATTAAAGAGTGATTTTTACATTAATTTATGCTTTGTAATGTGAACAACGACAAATATAACTCATCAAAGATCTTAAGTTTCATTTGTGTGAGACATTTATTTAAACTCTTACATTTTAATGAATGTAAAACAAATACACTGAAATGCACCAATGAGTCATTTTTTTAATGAACTGCATATTTCTCTGATTCAGGTGAAACTATCCCCTCAAACACTGTCAGTGAGAAAACAGTGATCAAAGTTCAACCTCCCGTCCTGTCTGCAGCATCTGGATCCCCTCTGAAGATAGAAGAAGGCCTCTTATGTGCCAAGTTAGCAGTAGTTTGGTAAACAAATATTATCTATACACAGGGGGTACGTCTACTTTGATGCGTAAAGCGCTGACAGGGTCTTGGCAGAAAACTGAGATGTATTCCAGCACCTTGGAGTTGAGCCTTTTCTCGCTCTCTTTGGCTCGGAGTCGCTCTTTGTCCCACCTGTCCTTCTCGCCGTTCATTTGGGAGAACAGGTTCATCTGGATGGTGCGCAGGGTGGCCGCCAGGACGTAGAAACCTCCTTGCAGCATGTGGCAGAAAGCTGCGCCAACGCTGAGCGCGGCACCCATCAGGTTGGGCACGGTTTCACATACCACACACAGACCCTCCAGGAAGTGCAGAGTGCCTTTGCGGACAAAGGGCTGGGTTTGGACCGGGTATCCCTGCGAAGACGAGCCTCGCTGGGCATGGTTGACCATGTACCTCACACAGTCTATGAAGTGGGTGGCCGCTCGGCGCAGCGGGAGCAGGGCCAGGTACAGGTGGCAAGCGGCTTTGGTCAGAGCATGGAAGAGCAGGCGCAGCTCAAGCACGGCATTGCCTGGAGATAAGAGGGTAACGGGGTCAGCTGGAGTCTTATTAACACAGTGGCTAATGTCAGCAACCATTACTAACAGCGTCTGCCACTGGATTAAAGTCTGTTCACTTGCAATGCGGGCAGCATCTATCACCTGTAGGCACGCGAAATAGGTGGCTTGGTATGCCATTACGCGTGCCCCTCGGCACAGGACCTCTGATCCGTAATACAAACATAACAAAGATACTGAAAGCCCATTTCAAACTAGTTCCACCCAAAACACTCTCACAGTGAAGAATATACGACAAAGATAAGTCTTATTTTAGAGATTTACTCCGCAGGTTAAAAGGCATGACTCTACAAGGAAGTGTGTGGTTTAAGGAAGTGGAATAGATTTCACTTTGGGAATTGTACACTTCAGACCCTGATTTCATGGAATATCTCAGCGATGCCATGTTTGTGAGATTCTTCTTCTTCTTATTATTATTATTATTGGGTGAATTTTCAGCAGGACTGTGAGTATAAAATATACAGACTACACAAAGTAAAATACTCTTATTCTTCTACAAATATCACTATCCTACCTCTAACTATTTCTCTTACCGTCTATGAAGCAGAAGATCCATAGCAGGGCAAGACTCGCTGCCAACGAAGCCCACCAATCCATGTAGTCTCCCCCCAGTTCTGGACCCGGCAACGAAAAGAAAGAAAGTTGCTTGTGTCCCAAGTCCTGATCAGGCCAAGTCCTGCCCTGTCCTGCCCTGCCTCACGTTTACGCAGCTAATACCCAATCATTAATTCGTGGCATCCCCGGTAGGTGTAGAAGCGGAGCTGCAGCCTCAGGGGGGACACCGTGAAGGTGTGTCTGAGGTATAAACAGGTGCAGGAATAAGACCAGCCAAGAAACCTGCTGTGCCTTCATTCTCAAGATTCCCTTACACTATAGGCGCTTATTCCTGCTTTACATAATTGGGGTAAATGTTTTATGAATGTTTTTAATGGGTTTCAAATATTTGAAGTGCGACAAAATGATCTTCTGAGCCAAAGCTGATTATTTATGACTAAAATTGAATGTACTCAGTGGAGTGACGCAATGTAAGTGGGAGGGGCAATCTTAAAACAAGTAGTTGACCCCATAGATATATATAAGAAAGGCGTTGATATACACATTTATATATAAATATATACATATGAACATATACATATATATAATGTGTGCATGTGTGTATATATGTGAAACTTCATATATATGTATATTCATATTTTTGTATATGGTTAACCTGCTGTAAACGTTTATTTTTTAAACCTACTGAATTAAATTAAACTTAGTTTGGTTCATTAGAATGAAATTGTAGAAATTGTATTGTATTTTTATATTTACGTGGTCCTTTTTACCCACCAGGCTTTTTTGACGATAAAAATGATCAAATTAGTTTTTTTAAACCCCTTGATTTGTCTTTTCCCAAATTGTCATCCATAATTCACTCTGCGGTTAATTTGACGTGTTTCAACAACGCTGTGGTTTAAAAAGTAAAATATAATGCATTTTTTTGTGGGGAAGTTAACAGATAAGACATCCACCGTATAATTTTGCTCAAATCAGTTTTGTTGTCCGTCAGCGCGGTAACGTTGCGTAGTTACGTCATTTTGAAGCGCGGTTAAGAGTCTTGTCTCGCGCTGAGAACCGCTCGTGCGCCGGTATCATGGCAACAGAAAAACCTTCAGACTGCCGGACACCTGAAGAAAACCTCTCCCTCCCTCCCTCCTCTTTGTGAGAGCTTCTGTTGACAAACGAGGCCGGTGTAGGAGGACTGAAGGAGTAAAACTGAGGCTGTTTTTAACTCTCTTTTTAAACTTGTGCTTCACTTGACGAACTTCTGACACAAAACCAAAACAGTTTGGACTTTCTTCCGTTTTACCGTGATCTTCTGACCTGCACTTCCTCCTGTTAAGAAAGGTAAGAAACCCCAACATTACTACGGTAACATGCTAAAATATAAGCTTCAAAACTGGGAGTTACGACCAAGACTTAACATAAATTCATTATATTCACGTTAAACTGAAGTATTAACAGGTTTATCGAGCTCTACACTTTGGTTTTTAAGTATGTAAACATGTTTTCTTACTTTAGAGATGAGTCCTAAGAAGAAAAGGACAACTCATGGTGTGATCACTTTCCACACACCTTTTCCTGCCAAACTGCTGAAATCAGAGGTAAAACATACAAACATGCAGTACACCACAAACACATGTTAAATCAATCATGCTTACATAAAAGGTCAACTAACTTCTGTAAACTTGTTCTCTCATATTGTAAAGATTAAAGCTGTGAAGTCTTAACAGAGTAATAATTTATAACCACAGCCTCTCTCTAAATGTCAGGGAGTCTGTGTAAGTACAGTATGTGTGCACAGACCCTAGTCTGGTTTTTAATGCATGGCTGCCTGTCTCTTTCCTTTCTGTACCCTGTAACACCTGACCGTACAGTGCTTGAATCTCAGAGTCCTTTTGGACAGAGGAATGGAAAGGTTTCAGGTGATTGATTGAAAGAGAGATAATATAGCCACAGTAATCCTCTTAATTTAGGACAATAGAGAGAAAAGCTTGGTCTGGGGTCAGGTGACATGAAGAGAACAAACAGACCGGAGTCTGAGAGTGGAGACGTCACTTTTGACAAACACAACAAAAACACTGTAATGAGGGGAGCTGCCATGTTCCTCCGGACGCCACGGTCACTTAGTTCACTGACATACACGTCCCACCGTATGTGTTTGAGTTACAGGGGGAGACAGTTCAGGTTTCCAGGTACTGACATGATCTGTTACCGTCTGTTGTGTCGGCCTCTGCTGCCTCCTGTTCACCTACATGACTGTCTGTGAACCCCAGCTGGGATTTAGAGTTCATATTTAATATGCAGCTCTTCAGTTTTTTTGCAGGTTTGCAGTAGCTACAAAAGTGCTGCATGCAGTGTACTTTTGCTCTCTTCCAGCAGCCACTTGCTGCAAGACCTCCGGCCAGTCTATTACGGACTACAGCGGGGTGCCACAGCATAAGGAAGAACATTTATGATCATTTCTTCATGGAAATAAAATCAGACTGAGACGCTAAGACAGAAGAACTACGGCGTCTGCAGTGCAAAATGATTAATATGGTGATTATTACTTCAAGGAAATGATAAAGAAATGATCATAAATGTTCTTCCTTGAGCTGCGTCACCCCGCTGTAGTCCGTAATGGAGTAGGTGAGCTGTGTTAAAAGATGTTTGGTGTCTAGTACTATGTCTGTGACCCTTTATGTCCTGTTGATGAAGTTAGGTGCTGTTCTGAGCATTATTTGTGGCTATAGAGTGGCGTTTTGGTTGAGGTTTGTTTATGGCTCCTCAGACTGCTGTGTATTGCTATCCTGCGGTCGTTACTAAAGTTGGTATAACTAGAGAAGCAAGCGGTCGGTAACATTTATCTCTCGAGGGGGTGTCTAACTCTGTGTTGCGGTGCGTTTGACCCTAAATTAATTTTACGGAATATCCCTTTAATGAAATATTATGGTATCTTGCGTGCACTCAATCAGTTTTGTGGAAATGTCAATCTTCTGCATCCACCAGACAGTTGTTTTGTGGGACTGTCATTATGTTTTGCACACAAGATGCTTTAATTGAAAAAGTGTTTGGTATTTGAAACTGAATGAGCTGATTGAGCTGCAGCACTTTGTGTTTATTTCTGCCATATGGAAGTGAACTCATCATTGACTCTTCTGGTGTTTCAGGGGGGCACTGCAGACTTGAAGGACCCTGCAGAGACCATTAGGAGCCCGTCTCAGCAGAGGAGCCCTTTTAAGAGTGAAAAAGCAAAGCAGAGTGAGTCCTCCTCCTCTGGGTCACAGCTGAGCCCCACACAGAACTTGCTCTCTCACTCCTCCCTCAGGCAACTGCAGGTATTGCACTCAACCAAACACACCTGCCGGATCATATTAGGTTTGTCTCTAATATTATAAAAGAAATAATTAAGATAATTGTTTTATTTTTTAGGTAAAGATGGAGACTGAAAATCATCTGGTGAAAAAAATACTGGAGACAGAAAATGGTTTTATGAAGGTAAGATGCTGCACCGTTCAGTTTCTTTTCAGGACATCACTGTGTCTGTAATTGTCGGGTTTTTTGTCTCTGAAGGATCTGGAGAAGTTTTTCAGACACAGAGATGTAAATGAGCTGAGGAGGAGGGAGCTGCTGCACAAACGCTGGACTGAACGTGTGTGGTTCCCCCTCCAGAGGAGAGTGGAGGAGCGCGTGTCCAGGTGTAGCCCTGTGGACGCCGAGAGACGCCAACGCCTATACAGTCACTACCTTCAACACTGCAACACAAAGGTGGTGGGAATTCACTCCTGAGTTTATTTAAACTTGTTCTTCTCGACCTGAACTTTCTTGGAGTTGTTGTTTGTTCACGTAAAGAGTTGCACTGACGTCTCACTTCCTCTTCAATGTCCTCCGTCTTCAGGGTTTCGTGTTTTTAGAAACTTACGATCTGAAGGAATACGATCCTTTTCTCCTGAACACCAAACAGCCGCGCTTCTTCAAGGTGATTCTGCTGTGACTGAAACATTTCACTGAATGCAACATAAAGACTGCTTTGTACATTATGATACCATTTAAATATATATACTCTCTGTTTTATCCCCAGCTGAGTGCAGCTGACTTTCAGGATCCTTTCTACCTCCATGAAAGACTGAAGGATCAGAAAGAAGCTCGATGTGAAGCAGGTACCTGGAGTTGAGTCTTGATCGACTTTCCCATGTTTGTGGCCTCCTTCTCAAAACTCTAAAACTTATTTTCCACCTCAGGATGCAAACAAAAGCGACCTCAGAGTGATCATCCTCCCGCTCAGCCTGCGGCGCCACATCATGACATTTACCATCTGGTTTCATCCAGTTATCAATCCTCTGCATCGAGGAAAACCACCACGACAGAGGATGTGACCAGAGGAAGGAAGTCCAGCAGGTTTATATACAAACACAGAATAATGAATCGACTCTAGACTGGGAGCGATAATTCTGCAAATTACAGAGTTAAATTAAGTTGGATATGAGAAGTACCATCATGCAAATATGTCTCTTCCAGGCTCGACGCAATTCCCTGTCACATCCTCGCATCTGCCGCAGCAGATGGACGGTGTAATCAACAAGGCTGCTGCTCCTCCAGAAGAGGCCGTCATCAACAGTCAGCAAGTTCACAGCAGCTTCAGTCTACCTGTGAATAAAACCCTCCCTCTGACTACCTCACGGGTTATTAAGGTGCTGAGAAAAAACAGAAATAAGAGTGTGCACAATCAGATTTAATGGCCGTCCTTCATCGTACAGTAGTGGTCGTCATCTGAAACTGACAGGACAACAACAGTGTGCAGCCGTCCGTGTGACGGAGCAGCAGTAGGAGTACAGTGACATATTCCTTCATGAGAACACAGTGAGTTTGGATTTTCCCTCATTATCAGTTCGACCGTGTGAAGAACTTTAAGCTTTTTATTGCACGTCTCTGCAGCAGGAAAATATTGGCAACAACATTTTAACGGCAAAAACATGAACATGGAGAAAAACTTCATATCAAAGATCCTCGTGCTGCTTGTGCTTCTTCAAATGGGCACTTTAAGTTGTGTTTTATATTTTCTCTTCATCACTATAAAATTAAGAGGCGTGAGTGTGTGTGAGTGTGTGTGTGTGTGCGTGTGCTGAGCCGTTGTCCTCATTTGGTCGGCTCATAAAGCTGCAGGTCCAGTTTGACTGAAACCTCTCCAGTGGGGACTTCGTGCAGCAGCAGACGGCGGTTTGCAGCACCTTTACTCTCCATCTCTTTTTTTATGGTCGCCACGGGAACCTCAGTGCGACCCAGGAAATCTAAATACACAGAAAACACAGCAAAGAGTAAAACGGGTATATTTCACCAGCAAAGTGAAGAGCAGATCTGGGATTTTGAGAGTGAAAATCCCAGGTCAAGAAAAACCCATTAAAAACAATCAAATCCTGATTAAAAACGCACACTTGATTCTTCATATTTCTTTGTTTAGGTGAGAGGAAGCCTTGGATTATTTAGACTTGAACATTATTATTGTCATTATCTGTATATGAACAATTAATCTAGTCTGAAAATCATCTAAAATTATGAGTATTTGGAGAGTCTTTCCTCTGAAAACTCCTAAAAATGCATCACTTTAAATGTCGTCTTTTATCCAAATAGAGGCACAGACATCATCTTTATCATATTATCACTATTTAAGAGGTTAAACTAGTTACTTTACGACTTTCCCATGAGCCGTTGTCGTAGCTCCGGTGTTCCTGTTTTTAAAAGTGTCGCAGGAAAAACTAAATGGCAGAAAAAATGTTCAATTAGACGAATTATAGAAGAGCAGATAAAACAGGATGAGAGCAGACAGCTGGAGCGGCTTGATCCAGATAATCACTGTGTTTTTTTTTGAGTGTTTCGGTGTTTTGTTTGTCTTTCATTAACTGACCATCTGGGGAGAACTGGTCCTTCTCAAACACGGTGATGCACAGAACGTCCTGGTACAGGTCTTTGATGAAGAACTGACAGTGGAAGTTCCACTTTGGGTTCAGAGTGTCGCTGATCGGCCTGGAGGTGTAACACTGAGCCCCCATGGTCAGCTCGCAGTACGGGTTACTCTTCCCTGGAGAGAGAGGATGTCATGTATTCATTAAAGAAACCAACAGTGATGACTGAGTGAGTGATCTATGTTTGTAACTCTGGATTCAGACGGCCTCACCGTTCGGTTTACAGGCTTTAAGCTCCTGAGCTTCAGTGACAGTCACCAGCAGTCTGCCAATACCGCTGCTCTTCAGGGACCGCGCTGAAACAAAAACACAGCCGTCACACGTTGTCGAGCCAAAACACACAAACACACAATGCTGCAGCTCCGATGTGGACAAAAGAGACAGCGAGGTGTTTACAGGAATGAGAAGTTTGTGTCTCATCTTTATAAAAACCTGACAGGAGGAACAGACAGACGTGTGTTTACCTTGGTACGCCTTCTCTCTCTTTTTCTTCTCCGTCTCGATGAAAAACTCTGAAGCCGCTTTGATTTTCTGAACCCACACCGTCCTGCCGAGACAGTAAACACAGAAACATCAACGCTGTGCGACTGAATCCTCCGTTTGGTGCATCGAGACATTAGTGTGCAGCCCACCTCTCATTCAAGGTCTCCGTTTTGAGAGTGTAGACCCGGTCGATGTGCGAGACGTGGAAGAGCGGCTCATCGCTGGACGGGTCGGGCGGCATTTTCACCAGAACCTCGTTTAGAAACAGCGGCTGCGGGTGAGACAGTGAGCTGTGAGTATTTCATCAATCGTTACAGTGTTCCCCGCAGGATTTGATCTTTCTTTCAGAGAAAAGCGCTCACTGTTTTGTACATCTTCAGCTGGATGTTGGTCTTCAGGCTGAACAGCTTGTCTGCTCCGGAGGAGGAGAAGGGTTTGGCGCTGTGTGTGAGCAGGAGGAAATCATTAAAGAGGAACACCCACAGTTCCCTGCTGCTTTTGGTTTTGTGGAGACGTCCGCTGTGGAGCAGCTTTCGAGGCCCGAGGCAGTTAGTCAGCGAGTTGAAGACCAAGTGCTGGAAGAGAAACGAAACGAGGAGGACGTGAAACATGAGCGAAGAGGAACACGCCGAATGTGGTGTTTTAGTCGTGTCTGAGCGGTCTCACCTCGATGGCGCCCTCACACTGGACGTGGCTCTGGATCCACTCCAGCCGGTCTGAGTTCTCCTTTTCCCGGACCCCCTCGTTGACCTGAGAGCACAGCTCCTCGGCTCGCTCCAGAGCTTCTCTCAGCGGGCCTCGGTCTGCGTGAGCGTCAGGTGTGTGCTCCAGGATCTGACGGACAGGTGAGAATAAGAGACGGAATCCACACCATAAATACGAGAGGAAGAGTCCACTTACATTCTTGATGAGCAGGGGGTAGCGGGTGATCCTCTGCATGGGTTTGAGGAGGAAGCTGGAGAGCGGCATTCCTTTACAGCGGTAGTTTGTGGCGATTTTCTGCTCAGAAGGAGAAAGACAGTAAGAAGAAGGATGAACCCTATCTGTTTGGTTGAGCTCTGACTAGGGTTACTTATACTCTCATACCCTGAGGAAGTCCTTGAAGTCCTGCTGGTTGTAGGTTTTGTTCTGCAGCAGGGCGGCGGCGTTGAGCTGGCAGGAGCAGAAGCGGATGTAGGGCTGCATGTGAGCGAGCTCGGAGGCCAGGAGGTCTCCGATCAGCTGGACCGGCATGTTCTCTCCTCCGGTCTTCTTACGGACTCGTAGGGCTCTGATAGATGAAATGAGAATCACACTCAGAATCATGATTTCACAGGTGTGTGTTTGTGTGTGGCCCGATCCCAAACCAACCCCTACACACTTGCCCTTCGCTACAGAGTGTTACTCATAATGAAGTTACACTCACAGCTGTGGAGTGTGCCGCGTAACACAAAGACGCGTCCTGTGCAAGGCAGCGTTTATTTTCTTAGTAAACGGACATCATGTTCAGTTCTGAGCTGCACCGGCTGCCTCGTTTCTTCATCCTCCCAGTAAAATCATAAATCCAGCAACCATCACAGTGACAGGAGCTAAATTAAACTTCTGATTGTTTGTGTTTCCACATTTCTTTGAACCCCTTTACCTTTTCGACATGTGCCTGCACAATCAAAACAAATGTCAGCGCAGAGTAAAATTTCAGAGTTTCATTTGACCTTTCCAAACCACGTGAGACAAAGGTGGACACATACGGAACTTATAGTTGTATGTTGTTTCCTCCTGCAAATCCTGTCATGAATCAGCACTGGTGCAGACTCACTATTGAAGGGCTGAACGGTCCACTCGCCCTCTGCACTTTGTGGTTTGGGACGGCCTTCAATACTGCAGAGCCTCTGTGGGGATGCGCAAATGGAGGAAGAGTGTGTAGGGGGCAGTTTGGGATTGGACCTTTGTGTGTGTGTGTGTGTGTGTGTGTGTGTGTGTGTGTGTGTGTGTGGTACCTACTTGAGTAGTTTGGTGTTACACATAATCAGCTCCCTCCAGTTGACAAAAATCACCCCCATCTCATCCTCCGTGAGGCGGCCCGACTCAGACATGGGCCTGTAGAAGACCTGAGTGATAAACACACACAGTTCAGATGAAGGTTCATGCTTCTTCATCATCATATCCGTTTGCTTCTGAGTGTTTGTACCTCGAGAACCAGCTCCAGATCCTCCACGTAGGTCTCCTCAGTCTGGATGAGCTCGTGGATGTAACCCTGTCTTTTCCTCTCCTGAGGCGTCATCGAGTCCAGCGTCATCAGGTCGGCGCACCCTGCAAACGCACGCACATGCAGACATGCAAACATGCGGGGATGCACGCGCAAACACACAAGCATGTACACAACACTCTCTCATCAGTCGTCTTCATGTTAAAATCTCCTTTATTATAATTTCTATGATATTTTATTTACAGTCAACGCACAGAAACAAGAGTGAGGCACATCGTAGTCGCAGTACATGAATGTAGGGAACATACCAGGCAACGCTAACACTGAACACTGCTACCGAGGAAAAGAAAGCACCTCTCATGGTGATGATTGCATAGGTGTGGATGAGTAAAACGCTTGAGCTAAAAGAGCAGTGGAAGACTCAGCTGATAGTTCAAGTCTTTGAGGTAAAAACTTGGCAAAGGTCGGAGGGAGATGTCAGCAGGTTTGTGTCGCTGAAATATCGGCGTGGTTTTTCTTCTTGTGCTGGTGATATCGCAGTTCAGTTACAGGATGAGACTCGATCTTTAGTCAGTTGGAAGCATTGTTACATGGATAAGAGTGCATAAGAGTTGAATAATTAAACCACAACAGTTCGGGATTAGCGCAAGCGATGCATCAGCAAGCAGCAATCAAGGTTATTGAGGGATTAAAGCAACAGTGAGTGTTCAGATTGGTCCAAGGTTTACTGTTGTTAGTGCAAGAATGAGTGACCCTGTAATAAATATTCGCCGTTTAGAAAACTAAATCAATGCAATTTACACTTTTTTTTCATATCTGTGTAACCAAACTCTTCTGATCCATCTCTAGCTGCCTCTGCCTTTGTTTAGTAGTTAGGCAAAGAAACACCGAGGGGAAAAACGCAGGGAGAGGAGAGAGCGAGAGGGGGTTATAGAAAGAGACAGGGGATAAAACATTCAAGAGGAGGAGGTTAAAGACGCTAAATAAATAAAGAAAGAGAGGAGAAGCAAAGAACACCACAGTCCTTAAGGAGCGAGTCCCAAAATGCAGGGCTGAGCTGTTTTTGTCTGGCAGCTGGGCTTCCTGCCGCAACAGGGGCAATTCGCACTGACTCAAACAGAAGGGGTGAGGAAGAGGAGGAAGAGAAGGAGGAAGAAGCGAGAGGAAAGCCAGCGTTACTGTCCTAGAGAGAGGAGAGAGAGAAACGAGAGATGAGGCGGAGGAGCGGGAGGGGGAGGTGAGTGAGATGAAGGAAAGGCGGAGAGACAGCAGACATTAATCAAGTTTGAATATTAATGCTCGACTCACACATGAAGGTGCATTAATAATGTCGTTCAGGAAATGTAAATGTTATTACTAATCATATCAGCTGGAGCGTGATGCTGATTTCTCTCTCTTTATCTCAGGGATGAAGTGCAGACTCTGGCATGTAGCGAAGTGTGAACATGTTCGTCGGAATTAAAATTTCACTCGGTTTTGTTTCTGCACATTAAAGCGACTCTGAACAACTTGGTCCTAATTAAACGTCCGCTGAGTTCACTCTCGTTAACAGAGATCCACTGCTGCGAGGAGAACCGCCGCCTATGAATACTAAATCCAAACACACTTCTTTTTATCATCAGAGCAGCTGCTTTATGTGAGCAAACATGAGTGAATCACATCCTCCCCAACCGTGCAGCGATCTGTGTTTGCATAAGACTTTATCTCTACCTCTGAGCCACGTGGTGTGAATGAAGAGGAAGTTTGATTGGGAAAAACATGCCGGTTCAATTAGAAACAAATCAGAGTTTGTGTTTTTTTTCATTTTGTTGATGATTCAGTGATTTGTTTGACGTTTTCGTTGTTAGAAATTGCTGATTTTCTTTTTTTTAAAGAGTTACATGAGAAGATTCTTGCCCCTCCAATGCTTGTATGCAAAATATTCATTTAGCTTAAGATTAAAGACTACAAACATGGAGTCAGAGCTGAATGAGTCCAATCTAAAATAATATCAACAATGAAAATCCACTCATATCAATAAAAAAGGGGTTTGGATAACATCATGTAGCCCCTGCTAACTGGCTGGAATCGTCTTGTAATTTTTTGCAGATTCATCCTTTACAAACATTTCAAGGCCACTTGCTTATTTGGAAGATCCTTTGACGAATGCATCCTGCTTTATTCAACTAATGAAGGCTGCATGCGCCGCAATCTTTTTGGTCTAAAATATCCAAAGAGTCCTCGGCAGGATTACACAATTTTAACCTAACGGAGTAGCTGAAAAAGAGCCTTAAACTTGAAATGATGTCTTAAATAGTTGGTTTATTTACAATATCTGACAAAAGGTATGTTAGCTTGTAACTGGTGCAGCTTTTGAGGTTGCTAGGCAACAGAAGCATCAGGTAAACTGATAAAGCAAAGACAGTCTCTGTGAAGTCACACCGTGATATCACAAGAAGTTTATTTGAGCCAGATCCTGCCAGAACCTCTATATGTGCATTTTTGAGACACATAAAAACAGAACCAAAGTTTGCTGCTCCATTTGAAATGTTGTCATGATCAAATGATCACATTTTTTTAAATACGAGTTAATTTTCTTCCACTTTAAGAAGCTAATGAGTGGATGGGATGCAGGGGATGCATTCAACGGCACAACACCGACACTGCTTAATTTTGGCCTCCCTGTGTTCCGGTATTTATTTGGGCAGATTTGGTAACTTTCATACAAAAAATTAAATAAAAAAAAACATTGAAATGCTTAAAATAAAATAATAATATGCGTATATTAATTGACAGAACAAATTCCAGGAATTTCATGTTGTTTATAAACATTTAACGTCATTTGAAGGAGTGTGATGCTGCGTTCGAGTAACCTCGGAAGTCAGATGTCTGAGCTGAAATGACGTCACACCCGAGTTCCCAGCGTTTCAGTTACCAAGTCGGAAAAAAGCAAAATCGGAGGCCTGAAATAAGATGGCTACATCTGTGAAAGTCATTTTAGCACTCGCCATATATTAGGACAAGGAAAGCTCTAAACTAACTTTTATAGATGAAACCATGTTGTTTCAGGTAACTCGGTAACTGAAACGCCGGTAACTCGGGTGTGACGTCATTTTCAGGTCCTACATCCGACTTCCGAGGTAACTCGAACGCAGCATCATGACGCGCTGCCCCCTTGCGTAGAAAAAAAAGATTTGAAATTCGCCACACCCACACCTGAGGGGCAAACAGAGAGGAAAACACGGTTACCATTTCAACGCAAACACGACAAAAAGACAGTTAGATTTAGGTCTTCTTTCATAAAGAAGTAAGAGTTTCATGACACTTTAAAACGAGTCAGAAAAGCCTTCATAAGCGGTGACGAAGGCAGCAGCTGCAGCGGTCATGTAACCGGTCAAAACCGGCTTCAGCAGGAGGATCGCGCCGCGACAGCTAGCCGGGTTCACCGACAGCGAGCCGAGCCGGGGCAGGAGGCTGGTACCGCGGCAGCAGCTGGTCAGGTACACCGCCAGCCGGAGCAGGAGCCAGCTACAGCGCTAACAGTCAGCCAGGTGGACCACCAACAGGCGGGTACTCTGGCGTCAGTTATCCCGGTACAACAGCCGGAGGAAGAGGCGGGAACCGCGACATCAGCTAGCTTACAGCAGGAAGATTCCAGAAGGAGAGGAGAGCGGACTGAGGAGGAGGAGAGGACTGTGGGACGGCAGGTCGTGGGTGACTAAAGCACCCAGAACTGTCACAGACACACGGAGCTAAACCCGAAAAAAGAGGAGGAGGTGGAGAATCTCGTGATGTGGAGGTGTTTTTGGACTAAACATGGTGAGCAAACTGTCTATTAATAGGCCGCCGTGCTAATCTATGAATAATAATAACAATGGAAGATTTGTGTGACTTATTAAAAGCTCTGTTTTTTGAACGTTAGACCTAGGGCTGGGCGATACGGGAAAAAGTTTATTCTATATCGATAGATATCACAATATGAAAATGACATTTAAGAGTGCTTATTGGTAGCATTATTTTGCAATACAATAATAAGCTACTGCATCTGTGAAGCCTTTGTGTCTCTTAGACGTTTCGTAAGGCGTTGCGCTAGAGAAAGCGGACTGAATGGTCTGCTGTTTTGGCTGCACAGGCGCCATGGGCTCCTTGACCCACTTGGGGTTTGTAGCCTTTTGCGTTGCGTGTGCTCTGCCGCTTGGCACTGCTTCAGTGCTGTACATTTAAAGTGCTGTGGTTGTGTGTAGCTGCTACCTGCTACTATGCAGTTGTTTGCTACTTGGTTCTAAGTCCTACAGCGTGTCAAGTGGGCATTTGCATGTATTTTTCAGCACAATTTCAGGAACCTGTCCCTGTCTCGTCATACCTGAGCTGTCATATGTATTTTGCGTTCCGGCACCTTATGATATACAAATTAAACACTGGATATTACCCCCACCTGGACATCATGGTTGAGTCTCAACTTAAAGCTACAGTGAGGAATTTTCTAATGCGAGGGGAGCGGCTTCAGCTATTCAGTTATTACGATTTTCACAAAGAATTTTATATTTGACTGTCAAAGGGCGGCAGGATGAGATTTTGAGTCAGATGACATATGTAAAAGGACAAGACAAGCAATGACTCCTTTGTCCACACCGAGCGCCAAACCAAGAGTTCCTCTCTGGGGCTTTAAAGACACGTCAGGGCATCAACAATCTTCTGATGTAACTCTTAACAAGAAAGTGAATCAGCACAGTCCTCGTTCATTTATCCATTCACCAACACTCCCTCAGTGATTGATAGAAAACAACCCTTTAGTGCTTACCCTCCGTTTCTCCACGCTCTGACACTGATAAGAAATCTACTGTACCTGCAGTGAGCCGAGTCAACCAATCAGATTTTTGCATAAACATTCAAACGTGCGATTTAACAGATGATAAACGTGTTTCTGTTTTAATTGGGGACGATAATCTTTAAAAACTGTATCATTACTGTTAGTGGATCTCTATAAAAAGGTTGAGGTTTACTCACATTGCTGGCTGGGGTCCGATTCTGTCGTCATTTTGACATAATTGGTTGGCAGCAGGCCCGTGACCCCATTGGTTTCTCCTTTCCACCAATCTGGGTTGGTTTTGTCTAAAATGCTGATCAGCTGACCTTTGGAGAAGCTCAGCTCATCCGGATTGGCGGCGGTGTAGTCGTACATTGCAATAACTTGGCACACTGAGGGGAAAGATGCACAGATGGGGGTTTGATTTAGATGCAAGTCTTAGAAGATATCCAAATGTTGTTCCACATACATGAAGTTTTTCTAGAGCAGCTCTGCAGTCCAGATGGGAAAGAGTATAAACAAACCACTACAGAGTGAGAAAATAGCTCATCTTTCACCCTGATCACACACTGGATTCCTCGTTGAAAGCGTGTCAGCCTCACCTGGCAGAGGAGAGGGGGAGGACTTGCTGCTGGAGGGGCCGAGCAGCTTGACGTGAGAGGAATGAAACCAGCCTCTCTGCCGCTTCCTACCTCGAGCCTGGAGGGAGAAGAGCCAGCGCCAGTAAATCAATCTCCCGCCGGTTCACTTTCTGAATTCTTAATCGAGAGATGAGCTGATGGATTGATTTCTTAGGGTGGGGAGCTGAACCTCAAGAACCTCAGCAGTGCCAACGACCATACGTATTAAACCAGATGGGTCTTTGCTTGGCATTTACTTTCACTGCCTTCATAAATCAGGATCCGCCTCCAGTCTTTTGCTTTTCTATTCATCAGAACTCGGCTGGATGAATTTGAATGACAAAGTTCTGGTAATCCCGCCTCCTCCTGTAGAGTTAATCTAAACTGTCACTGTCTTGTCTGAACTGTCCACCTCTCTGCCGCTAACTCCGCTCAGCTGTCTCATTACCGTGCCGGGTTCTTCGCTAAAAGCCTAACCGGAGCTGGAGCTGCAGCCTCAGCACAAAGAGAGCAGAGAGGATAGACTTCTCATGACGGTCCTCCACAAGAGCTGAGAGGTCAGCAGATACAAAAACACCGTCAGTGGGAGCTGAACATCACAGGTGAGGACACTTTAATGGCATGTTGATGATTAATAATAAACAATAACTCAGTGATGACACATCTTTTACTCAGAAATTTAAAGTCAGAGTTATCTCAGTGTTTCAATCTGAGAATATTGTCCAATTTTGTTCAATAACCATAACCCTGTTTAATATAAAACTCATGAATGTTTAAAGGGATATTCCGGAATAAAATTAATTTAGGGTCAAACACACCGTAACACTGATTTAAACACCCTCAGGAGAGGGTGTATTGCTATCCTGCGGTCGTTACTAAAGTTGGTATAACTAGAGAAGCAAGCGGTCAGCAATAATCATCTCTTGAGGGGGTGTCTAACTCGTGGTGTGTTTGACCCTAGATTAATTTTATTCCGGAATATCCCTTTAAGAGGCAGGTGTGTGTTAGGTGTCTGACTGTTAAATCTGTTCAAATGAAACAAAAAGGAGTTAAAACAAAAACTGTCCCTGAAGCTCTCTGGTGGATAATCGTGTTTAAATAACGCTCAGGGGCGAAGTTGACCTCCAACTCTGCACATCAGCGTTAAGACCAAACTGCCATCCTGGACTAAAATCCTATTAGTGTTAAAAACCACAGCTTCCCCCCTGTGGCTTTTATATTCCTGACCTGTAGTTCCCCGAGCCACCATCCGGTGGAGTTCTTGGCCTGGACCACGATCAGTTGCCCTGGAGACAGATGCAGCTGATGCATCATGGGGGCAGCGGTGGCGTTGACTGCCTGGGCGATCTCTGTTGACCAAACAAAAAAGTCCAGGATCGATGAATATTGAGTGACTGTCACCAGGATAATGGAGTGAATCAACAGACTATGACTGGCTGGTTAATTGTTTGTGTGTTTTTATGCAGTAGATGTAAATCGCTGCACACATGCCCACCAGGCTTTTTGGTCGGAGCTCCGGGTCTCGTCCCCTAAAGAAATAAGAGAGTAAATTAAAATTCCAAATAAAGCCGGAGAACCAGAGAATACTTGCATTAAATTATTCAAGATCCAAACCCCTTAAATCCTCTCTTTCTTTACAAGTTTAAACATTTATTCAAATCAAGGTTAGAGACTTGATTAAAACCACCGTACTCACCTCGGGTTCAACAGGGCGCACATAGTTAGAAGGGAAAACCCCCGTCTGGTCCCCGATGCATCCTCGCCACCACTCTCCTTCCCTCTCCGTCACCATGACAACATCTCCCTCAACAAAAGTCAGGTCCCCCGCCTCCGGGCTCTCGTACGTGTACAAGGCCACGTACTCTGATTCAGAGGTTTTAAAAGTGCATGAGTCTGAGTCAGATGAGAGCATGTTTGGGAAAAATCGCTCCTGCAGATGAACGAAACTCACCCTCTAACTGAACGCCGTCAGATCCGTCGAATACGTCCAGGCTGGCAAAGAAACGAGAGCGAGATGGAGAGAGAGAGAGAGAGAGAGGGGCGGTTTAGAAATGAAGCATTAGAGAGATGTGTGTGTCTGAGAGTGCGTCTCTTCATACTCTGTGTTATTGCCCGTCTCAAGGGTGACGTAGTTTTTAGGGAACCACCCCTGCGTCCCGTTAAGCTGCCCCAGCCACCAGTCTTCCCTCTGCTGCAGTACACTGATGACGTCACCTTGGCAGAAGCTCAGCAGCGCCGTGATCGTGTCCCCGGGGTCGAAGGAGAGGTTGAGGTTAGTGTCCGAGGTGGCGGACCATGAGGAGACGGCTCGAGCCAGCAGGGGGACTGAGAGCTGAGGAAGGAAACAACAGTATACTACTGTAAAAACCCGCCTTTAGTATACCGACACAGTCATCTACTGGGAGATGGTGATCTGTAAATGTCTATGTGACCCACTGAGAGGCTGAGACAGGAAACTCCCAACAGAGAAAAGCTCTAAATATACGACCACGCTGCTGTCAAAGAAATGTGTGTGTGTGTAACCCTGACAGCCCTACTTCCTGAAACCCCGCTATAAACGAGGGATGACAGCGAAACTCCAAGATGCACCTTACCAGAGTAACAGGCGATATCATTATTATTATTCTTACAATGGAAAATAAAGTGTGTTTGTGCAGGAAGAAGGAAGGCGAGTTTATCTTCAGTTATCCGTCTGCATCAGCTGACATTTACACGTGAAAAAAAGTCATTAAGAGTAATGCAAAGCAGTGAAACGGCAGACAGTGGAAAGGCGGTGTGATTAGGTCATATTTCTCTGCGAGTTAATGATCACAAATGACTCCCATTATATCAGCCGCAGACTTTGATCCACAGTTACTATTAAAAAAATGACAACAGCAGCTTTAATCTTAATAAACTGGCTCAGCACGGCCGGTGAAATGTTGATGTAATTTTGTCGAATAACAACAAAGAAAACAGAATTAAGTCAGATAACTGCGACGCTGCTCATGAATAAAACATTTCCTCTCTATTGAGAAAACACGGGCAAATCTCAAATCTAGAGACAGTCGTAGGGCTGGGCGATACACTGAAAATTTACAGATACCGAAATTTACAACAATAACCAACGTCATTTTGCCCATATCGGTATATTCAGTGTCAAATAAATAAATAAATAAACGTTGGTTTTGGATGTTTGTAGGTAGGCTATGGTCTCATGTCCCTTTAAGATGCTGTCCTACGTTGGAGACGTGACTCCACCCCATCCAGTCCGTAACAAAGAGGGAAAAACAGGTGAGGAGATGGAGGACGGTTCAAAAATTGTAGCGGCTGAAGTTAATGTGGGAGGGGGTGAGCAGCTTGTGGAGTAGTTATCATCCATTTATCGTTATCATGGATGAACTGATCAATATATCGTGACATTGACTTGAGGCCATATCGCCCAGCCCTATGCAGTCCCTGGAATCGCTCATAGTAAAGTCTGTCAGAGTTCGTTTCTTCTTAGAAATTAAAGTCTGATTTTATTTACTTTGTTTTTACCTGTGAGGTATCTGATTGGGCGGGAACAGAGCTGCTCGCTTCCTCTTCGTCCGGCGCTCTGAGTAAAACAGACAGATCATCAGGTCATGGATGCGAACATTATGAAGGTGACCTAACATCCTGTTCCTCACAGCAGTCTGTTACCCTGTGTTAGCGAGTGTCTGTGAAAAGAGCGGCTCTCCAGCTGACGTAGGGCCTGACTCAGCGGTGGGAGAAGCGGGACATTTCTTCGCGTAACTCTGGGGGAACCAGCCCCTGTTTCCACGGTAACTTCCACACAACCACCCGGGCTCGCCGACGGTCTGCTCATCCACCTGCATCATGAAAAACACTTTAATCAGCGTCAATCAGAGAGAAGAAGAAACACTTGAGAGCAGTCACCTCTGTTCTAATCAGGAGTGAGTGAGTTTACTGTGTCGACATTATGATCCCTGTGCTCAGTTCTACTGCGGAGGAATTATTCATCACATACAAGCTGAGCTAGTGTGTGTACATCTGTCTTTAGTGTGTTTCTATGATGGTTTTCATGTACCTCTATGAGGCAGTCTGCGTCGATACTCAGCTCGTCTGCATTTCGGGCGACGAACGAGTACAGAGCTTTATAAGACGTCAGCTTGGGTGGTTGCTGATCCACCAACACCAGCTGCTCCTCCTCCCTCTTCCTCTCCTCCTCCTCTTTCCGTTTCCTCTCCTCCTCCTCCTCCTCCTCCTCTTCCCTCTTCCTCTTGGCTTCCTCCTCTTCTCTCCTCTTCCTCTCCTCCTCTTGTGCTTTCTCCTGAGCGGCTCGGAGGCGAGCCTGTGCCTCTCTCTCCTCTTCCTCCCTCTGTCTGGCCCTCTGCTCCTCCAGGAGCCTCTTCTGTCTCGCCTCCTCTTCCTCCCTCTCCCTCCTCTCCTGCTCTCTCCTGGCTTGCTCCAGCTTTGCAAGTCTGCGGGAAGTAAATGCAACTTTCAAGACTCACCTGAAGCCAAAACAAGAGCAGAACAGAAACATGTTCTTTTATTAAACGCTCACCTGGCCGCCTCCTCTTCCTCTCTTTTTTTCCTCTCCATCTCCTCCTCCCTGCGTCGCTGCAGCTCCCTCAGTTTCTCCTCTTTGACTCTGTACAGGTCATCCAGGACAGCCTGCTGCCGCACCTGCTTCTCCCTCAGCTCCTGGTGCAGTCGCATTATATGCAACGTGTTAGAGGGATGGAAAAAAAAGAGTGCTTTAACAATTCAGAAACAGCCACAGGCCGCAGCATCAATTTATGCAGGCTACGAATCATCTGCTCCCACAACATCAAAGTCAAAGCCTTCTAACGTATAAGGATGTCTGTTAAATATATAAGAAATAGGAGCATTTTAAAGTCTGTGTTCACCACATATAAGTCATAACAAACATGCAAAACAGATGACACAGAAACATGCAGATATATGTGTGCAGAGAGTTCAAATGTCTCCCTTTTCTGACACAAAACATGCAGGTTTAGCTCTGTGTGTGTGTGTTTTACCCTCAGGGTGCACCCTGTTTACACAGAAAACAAAGACGAATCCCCAAAGAGAGAAAAATGGCAGAAAAGAAAGAGTTCTGTTTGGTAATGAGTCAAAAAAGAAAAAGGATTAGGGAAGTTATTGAATCATTGCAGGATCAAAAAGAAGATTTAAGGCTGTGGCTTCAGGGGGGAAGCAACCAAAACAACACAGAACAAAATAAAAAGGAATAGGTGATGAGAGAGAGAGAACACAGTAGGAGGCAGAGAGAGAGAGAGAGAGAGAGAGAGAGGAAACCTTGATGAGGAGGAAGAGTTGGCTGAGGCAGGCCAGCAGAGACAGAAGGCCTCGCAGGACACAGTCATCCATGTCCCCGAGCTTTTAGAGAAACGCAGTGTGATGATGACAGGGCGGAGGAAAGAAGAGGATGAAATGGACAGAGGGCGAGAGAGAGCACAAAAGGTATGTTTGAGATAAGTGCCGGAGGAGAGAGTACAAAAGAAAAAGGTAATAAAACAGTCCGACCAGAGAGGAGGAGAAGAAAGGGAGAGAGAGAGATCCGGGAAGCATAGAGCACAAAAAAGAGGGAGGAGAAAAGAAGAAGAAGAGGAGGAGAGGTATTAGAAGATTAGACGAAAACAAGTTAAATGACTGGAATACAAAGTGAGGGGTTTCAGATTTCCTGTATGTACGTATATCTGAGAACAGTTACAGTCAGGTAACTAGGTTTACCCCTGAGAGGAACCAAAGTCTAAAATTACCACGACCAGTTCAACAAGATTTCACTGCAGTTTTTTTTTTGTCTAAAACTCCTTTTGAAGTTATTTTCCAATAATCTGCTGTGAGAATAAAACTCCTTATAAAGCAATGTGATGATGGATTTCACCTCCATGTTTCTGTCTCTACCAAAATACATGATTATACATCTTCCCTCTAAAATATTGGTTCAAGGGAGGCTTAACTCTTTGGTAAATATTCAGAAGTAATAATTTCATAATAAGCTTAGCTAGAATAAATACAGGGAGAGAAGAGAAAACTAGGCTTCAGCGAAGGCAGGAAAACCCTCAACAACATGGTAACCTGATCTCAGTGGGATAAAGAAGAGTAGGGTGTAGATTTTCTTCATGACGCTTAAGGACAAAAAGGATCTAAACACAAGTTTTTGGTTGTAAATAAAGATAATATTCACACTTTTAGTTTCTGTGTGAGTGAATGTTGTTCCAAACAAGTCAAACCTGTTTCTTGGCAGGTTAAATTTTTGGAAAATTAAGCGTATTCACCTCAATTTTCATTCATTAAAGCTTCTGTATGTAACTTTTAGACTTCATCGACTCTGGCGCCCCCCAGTGGACAAACAAGAGTGTCGGTCTTATTTGCTCTCAACTCTCATCCCGCCGTGGTCACTGACCTTCAGCTCCTTGTTGTACTCCTCCATCTGAGCCAGTTTATCCGTGGTTTCTCTCTCCAGTGTGTCCAGTTGGTCCTTCAGCTTCCGACAGTTTACTCCTTTTTCTGTCACGTTCCCGGTCATAGTGGTCAGAGTCGCCGCTGCGAGGCGAAGGAGAGAGGTTAAAGGTTAAAGGAGTAAATGTACAGACTGATGTTCCTGTCTGAGTGTTTCACGGAGTGCTTACAGGAGATCTGGTTGAAGCCGATGTTTCGCAGCTTTTCGGTCAATCTCTGCTGCTCTGGAGCCAGCTGGGACAGCTTCCTCTGCCAGTCCTGCAGCCAACACAAACACACATATATGAACAGGAAGTGATGTCATGTAAATGTTCAAACTGCAGGAAGAAGAGCGTGAGCATCTATCTTTCTCTAACCTCAAACTGAAGTTGCAGTGTGTTGATTTCTGCGATGCGTTCGTCTCTTTTCTGATTGACGAGATCCACCTCCGCCTTCAGGATCCGCCTCTTACTCTGAGCGTCTCGCAGACAGTCTGAGATCTGCTTGTGCTTGTTGCCCTGGGAGACAACTGACGTTAGTGCGCTTCCATCTTAACTTTGTACATCTGCATGTTTGTGGATAAAAAAGTGATGCCTCACCACCGCCTCCAGCTCCAACTCCAGACTTTTCTTTTTGGCTCTCAGTCGTGAGATCTCCTCCTGCTCCCCCTCTCTCCTCCTTCCCAGCTCCTCTCTCTTCGCACGCTCCCACTCCTCCCTCCTCTGGCGTTCCATCTCCTGCTTCGCTGCCTGAAGGTACAAAGAAACACTGTCACTACAAACCGCTGTCTGATTCTTCACATGCTCTCAGGTGAGGTTTCTTCTCCACTCACCTCCTTCCTCTCCAGCTCCCTCAGCCTCTCCTCCTCCCTCTGCCTTTCCATCTCCCTCTGCCTCTCCAAACGCCTCTCCTCCTCCAGCCTCCTCCGGTTCTCCTGCTCCCTGGCCTCCCTCTCCCGCCTCTCCCTCTCCTCTCTCTCCTCCCTCTCTCTCCTCTCCCTCTCTTTTCTCTGCGCCTCCTCCAGGGCTAGGCGCCGTTTCTCCAGCTCGGCGCTGCCTTTTGCAAAGTTCTCCTTCAGCTTGTCCTCAAACGAAACTACGATGAAGAGGAAGATAAGAGAGGTAAGACGAAGAGACAGACTCACGTTGTATGAGGACACAGATGAGTGGAAGTGCTTCGTTACCGCTGCTCTTGTTTTTCTGTGCGGGTTCAATCTCTGCTGTGTCCAACAAACAGGGGGCGACGTAGGGCCCCATCCCATTTACGAGCTCTGTGGACTTGCTTCCTCCCCTAAAAAGAAAAAAAGTTTGCATTAAAGAATGCATTGATAAATACATGGATTCTTTTTACATGGATGTGTGTACCTGAGAGAAGGTGGCACCAGGTCTTGAGGAAGACTGAGGGGAAGAGGTCTGCCAGTTTTCGCCATGTCCACCAGGTGCATCGCTAGAATAAACTCATCAGCTTGTAGCTGCCCGTCCTTATCCACGTCAGCTAAAGTCCTAAGAATGGAAACAACAAAAATGATGAAATCTGAACTCCTTCAGTGAGAAGACTGGGAGTTCTGGCAGCTCTGAGGTGAATTACAGTCCGGCTCCTGTGCTTGGCATCATGGGGACGCACGGGGGCTTAATGCAGGGATCACGCTGGACGGATGCCGACAGCTTTGTGGCTTAAAAAGATCTTCTCCGCTGAAGTGCCGCTGAGCTGATGCAGCAGAAAACATCATTAATCTGAACAATGTGATGTGGGCTGGACTGGGCTCAGGTTTGATTACATGGTGAGAATCAGAGTCAGAATAAACCCTAACGTGGAGTTTTTTCTTTCCGCAACATTCACTGCAATACCAAAAATACAGGAGATAACCGCAGTGCAACATGAACAAAAGTGCCTGTGTGCAAAGCTTCATGTCAGCTGAGAGGATGATTGCACAGCGAGTGTTTGTTCAGTGACGGCTCAGACTTTATCGCAGCGACAGCCTGGAGGAAGAAACTGTCTCTGTGTCGGGTAGTTCTTGTGTACAGTGTCCTACATCCTCTATCTGAGGGGCGGAGCTTAAACAGTCTATGCAAGGGGTGTTCGGAGGTTTTATCTGCTCCTGGACTGATGTAAGTCTTGGATAAGGGGCTCAGAAAGTGTGGAGAAGGCCTGAGTGGTCTAGTCTATTTACCAATAGGTTTGCAGGTGCATCAACCCAGAACCATGCACCTGTACATGGTGCTTATGTTATCAAATGCAAACTGCACGTTTTCCAGCTTTTGTCTGCAAAACCATCACTTTATATATTTCCTCACCACTGCACTCCTGCCTGGATGTGTATTTTTGTCTGCACAAACACAGTCTAGCTAAAATAAAGACAGCAACAGTCATGCTTCTGCTCAAAAATCAAACACTTAGTCTGATGAAAACTCCCTCGAAATAACCAGCCGGGTGATGCAAGATGATGACACTCATACTCACCAGATGGTGGCCAGCTGAGTCTGAGTCAGGTTGGACGCTATCAGCGCATTTCGAACCTGAGGTCCTGCAAAAGAAAAATAAGTTAACAGCCGAGCGACTTTCCATGCCACTGCGCACAGGAGGTGAGTCGAATGGGGTTAAGAGCCGTCATCGTGGGAGTGAAACTGACCCTGAGAATGCCGTGTTTTTTCAGCATTTCTGTGTGTTTGGTTTACCTGACAAGTAGCCACTCATGAGCTTGTCCAGCGTGTTGAACTGCTGACGGTACTTCAGTCTCGAGGCTTGTGGAACGGCCCAATCACTCGCCCCGGTCTTGGGAGAATTACTGGCCAATGATGTGGTGGAGGAAGAATTTGAACTACGAATATGGAACAAAAAGAGGAGCAACCATGAGCCAAAAAAGGGGAAATGACACCATGATATCATGTGGTCAGTGTTTTCCTCTCCCCTTTGTATTCCAGCCTTGACTTAAAACCACTAATTGCCTGGAGACTCCCCGGTGTTATCTCTCGGCTCTTAATTAGCAGTAGAGGAAGCCAGAGCCAACGTAGACAACGAGTCAGGGCTGCACCCTCAGGCAATGCTAATCAGCCTTTCTGTTTTTATTATAAACAATGCCTCTGCAAGAATAGCAAAAGGGACGCTTCGGGTTGCTGATGATCACTCCAGAAGAGTGAATTTCATTTGGGGAATTAGAGTCGGGTTAAAACTTGCAACACTCCTGAAATAAATGAGATGTAGTCTGGGATCCTCAAACTTTTACAGGTCTGGGAACAAAAACAAGCGCCTGCTGTTACATAAGAGGTCGTCTCCAGCTGAGGTTAGAGGTGAGTTAAAGGTGAGGTGTTCAACGTCAACCCTGCCCCTATTATTGCTTGTTGTACCACCTACACCCGAGGGCAGGACTTTGTGTTTGTAACACAGTTTTACTCCAAACAATACATTCAAAGTGAAATCAGATACAGCTCCGATCCTCTTCCCAGAGCACACAAAACAGCACCACAGGGGTGGAGGATATAAGATACTGCTTTTGTTTTTTTGCTGGGGCTGAAACTTGGTGTGACTTCCTCCTATCCAGATACCGCAAAGCATGTGCATCAAAATCATAAAATGTATGTTCTATTGAGGGTCTCACCTGCTAGAACCGAGGTCCAGAAGAGAGTTAGCATTCGACATCCCAGTGGATGGGGAGAATGCCATAGGAGAGGAGAAGCCAGAGAGAGGTAGCGCTGCAAACAGGGTTGGAAAGAGTTCAATTAAATTCAAGTGTTGTGAAGAGATATTCAGTGTAATATGAGGAAACACTGCGCTGTGTTTGTATGTAAATAAATCTCCCCTTTCTCTTATGCAATCAGTCTCCCACATACAGCAGACGTGCAGAGCTGCTGGCCTTGAATGTGTGGACATCTTATCTTATCTCCTGATACTTTACAGTCACAGCACACAGAGCCCCAGCAGCAGCAGCAAGCTTATTGACATCTGGCTAAAAACAAAACGATCCCAGTTGTCTGCAAGTCTGCGCTTAAGTGTGTTAGTTTAAACAGCGTGACACTGATGTATTCACAGGCAAAGTGTTTGTGTGTGTGTGTGTGAAGAAACTAAATGATGAGAAATTTAACCTTCAAGCTTGTTAGACCGCTCATTACACAGAGCAAAAAAAGTTAGACATTAACAGAGAGTAAGATAAAGTGACATGAAAAGTGAGAGAAAAACAGGCGTAATGAGTGTAAACCAACGCAGGAACAACAGCACAGAAAGGGTTAACTCTGCAGGATTAAAGGTGTCAGTATCCACACAGATGCTCTATCACAAAGACAGAACACCTCAGGGAGGAGACAGGGTTCAGGTTTTCAGACTGCAGTCATTATCAACACATTAGCACCGAATCCTTTATGTGCAAGACCTAGATGAGTATTATGAGTATTGAAGCAGAGGGGCTTTCCGGGGGTTTGATAAAGTTTCAAAATATCTCAATAGACCCTGCACTCATTTACTTGTACCATTTGCAATCCAAAAAACACAAATGTATTACAGCTTTAGTGCTTAAGATTCACATGTTTGTAAATATCCGTTTCCATTCAGCTCCACTAACAGTCTGCGGCCAGTCTCACAAGAAATGACGCGTTCTACTCGGTTATACCTGACAACAAGAAAGGATGGGGGAGGAGAGCGCTGCTGCGAGTAGCAACATGGCGTAGAACTCGAAGAATTGACCAGGAGGTTCAGAAGTGGATCCTACTAAAAAGAAAAGCCTTCTTGTTTGGAAGACGGTCTGTTGGTGAAGAAAGAGAGTGACAAACGGAGAGGACTAATGCATATTTACATCGGCGTCGCCCACATGTTGTGTTGACAGTTACCGTGTACCGTGACAAGCAGTATGTGGTGAGTCGCCAGTGTTACTCCGTGTACCGTGACAAGAAGTACATATTGTGTAGACAGTTAAAGTCCATGTATGGTGGTTCTCGACCAGCAGCATGTGGTGAGTCGCGAGTATTTCACTATGTAACGTGACGAGAAGTGCACATTTTGCAGTGTTACTATGGGTACCGTGACGAACGGTATGCTGTGTCTGATGAGTGTTACTGTGTGTGATGAGCATACGTCATATTGGGGTGCCGGCTGTATCGTTGTGATGATGCAGAAATCCTCTAGGGGCCGACAGAAGTTACGCACTATAGCTTTGAAGCTCCTGTGAGGAACTTTAGGTTTGTGCGAACTCTGGCGCCCCTTGTGGACAAAGCAGTCTTTGCTTATTTGGTGTCTCTCAGAAAAGATTTATTGTGAATATTTATGCAGAAATCCTAAAAACAGGATTGTATCTTCAGCGGCTACCTGCTCAAGCTACAAATCCTGTTTGCTTCAGTATATCACAAAAAGGCCTCAGTTTGAATTTTAGTCTATTTCAGAAAGGTAAATAAAACTTCTTAAGTTCGCAAATTCGAGAGAAATTATTAAAATACTTGACTTGATCTGCGCTTGAGTCAAGTCCAAACAAAAAGACGCTAAAACAACAAACCAATCCCTGTCCAACAAACAGAGCAGAGCGCTGCAGGACCAACCTGTGTTGTTGGGAACAAGAGGAGGGGTGAGGAGGTTGACATTGCCATTGGGGAGTCCAGAGTTTCCCAAGGGGGAGATGAGGGGCAGGGTCATTGGAGTTGGCACGAGGGGTTGCACAGGGCGCATGGGGAGGTTAGCTGGGATGGGTGTTAGGATGGGCATGGCAGACATAGATGATAGACCAATTGACAGGTTTGGCATTGAACCCATTCCTGTTGGGAGGAGACACACAAGCGAACACCAGGAGATCAGAGGACCAACTTTGATGGGGGGGGTCAGGTGTTAAAATCCTCAGAGAGGTTTTACCGAAGCGAGCCGATGAAGGCATGATGGAGGCAGAATTGGAGACCGGACACTGCTTCATGATGATTGGTAGAGAGGAGGGTAAACTGCGCCCCTGAAGTTTGAGTTTGATCAGCTTCATGGCGATGGAAAACTCCAGCCGGTCCATTTTTCCGTCACTGTCCATGTCAGCTAAGTTCCTGCAAGAGGAAGAGAGAGGAAGAGCATGACTGTTTGATAAGATTTATTATTCTGGTTTATTTACAGCAGCCCAAGATTTATTTCTTTTTATGGAGACAATAGAGAAGGCACACACGGAAACACACAGTCTTGTCTAATTACAGCGCACACACACTTTCTTTTCTTTTTGTGGGTCAGGCTGCAAGGAAGTCAGTCTCAAAGGGAAGTTAAAGCAGGCCAAAAAGACCAGACTCTGGGCTGGGGGACCTATGTAGTCCTGCTAAACATCATCACATCCAGGTTCCTTAAAAAGGGTTTGTTGTCTCACCAAATCTCAGCCAGGACTGAAGCAGGTAGGCCGGACTGGAGGAAGAACTTCCTGGCTTGTTCTCCTGAAGGAAGAGACATTTCATGAAGCAAGAATTTAAGGTGTCCCGACTAAACTCCCGTTTATTCTGACGACAACTCACCTGAGACGTAGCCAAGGACGGGGGCCAGGGAGTCAAACTGTTTGTCATGTTTCCCCCTCTCCTCTGGAGTGACGGCCCACACGCTGGCTCCGCCTGAACAAAACCAAGACACGACAGGACTTTGAGGTTATTTCGCTTTTTAGAGAGTTGGGAATCGAGATGAGGGGCGATGTAAAGCCCACGAGAAGATGAGGCTTCCGTTTGATATTTAAGGACGGCCTGAGGGAGGTGAGGGTACAACAAATGATCTCAGTTATATGTGCAATTTAAGGAAAGATAATAGAGATATGTAAATACGGATACAAAAAGAGTATTTCTGTCTTTACTTTTCAGTAGCTTTAATTTAACATAACGAAAAACACTTTTTTTTTCTTACTCCACGTCAGGAAAAGTTTGGGCACCCCTGGATTAAGGGAAACTCAGTAAACTTAAGTTTAAAACACACAAACTCGACCGTAGATGTGGACAACTCTGACTGATTTCAACCGAATACAAACATTAAGAAGCTTGCGTGCTTTAAAAGCCATGTGAGCTCAACTTGTTAGCATGCTAACGCTCCGTAGATGTAAATCACCTCACTACTTTTTAATGTTACTCCAAGTTTATCTTATTAGTCCAGCTCATATTCAAAAATGCAGCTGGGTTGTCGTCCATGTGCAGGAAAGAAAACTTCATCCACCACCAAGAACGTTAATTCTAATCCCGCCTAAACCCCAACATGCTCTTACCGAGCTGAATTAACTCATTCAGTTATTTTTCTGCAGATCTGAAGCTGCTGCTGCTACAGCTGTGCAAACAGAACTTGCTGAATGTGCCAAGATTTAGTTTTATTAAAATATGAGACATTTCAGAGCAGCGAGCTTTAATAAATTTGACACTTACACAAAGCCGCGGTACACTGACAGTCCCTAAAGCAGATATGGTAATAGCCAATTTCGTATACAGTGTCTTTTCAACTTCAAACTCCAAAAAGTCTGTATAATTTTCATGCAAAATGAGCTCTGCCCCTCGGATGAAAACACTGTTCACCAATTCCTGACAATGATTAATGTATAAAACGTCCACTCAGCCTTTTTCTCACTCCGCTCCACTTGCGCGTATCTCAAGGTATGTTCAGGGTGAGCAATGAATTAAATATGAGCCAGAATATTTCGTGTGAGGGGTTTGAAACTCGAGTCTTTCTCAATTTCCGTTTACATCTTCAATACAGAAGGCTGAGAGATTATTACTACATCCTATAATCACTTAATCAGAAGGTAATCCATGAAATTAAGATAATCATAAGACGATCAAGGCTTCCCTTAAGCTCCTTTTTTTTAGAAGCGAGGAGCTCTGAAGCAGTTTTTCAATCAAATAATTCACTGAATGTCCTTATTGCACAGATGGATGTCTTCATATGGCAGCAGGAGAGTGACAGAGATGTGGATAAGGGGACAACGACAGATAACGAGTCCAGAGATGGAGAGCGATGCAGTGAAGAGCCACTAAAGTAAAGTGGCTGAGTAATGGGCTGCTTTAAAGACTGTGGATGGCATTCAGACATAAGAGATAGATAGTGATGTAAGACTCAGCCGATGTTACCGTCGTGAAAAAGAGGACGGCCGCAGAGTCACGGATGGAAATCCACAGAGGCAGAAACTCAACAAACTTTGTCTTTGAGCTCGAATGACGCTCAGCTTATTATCGACTCTGCTGGTCCTCTGGACCTGACTAGACCGTCACCAGAGGAGTGAACTTCAAACAAAATGTCAACACAGATTTAAATACAAGTTAGGAAGATAATTACAACAATATTTCAGTTAGTTAAGTCAGGAAGAAGCTCATAACTAAATTTCAGTATCGGTAAATTTTCGGTTTATTGCCCAGCCGTAGTTGAAATCAGGAAATAAGACATGAGACCATAGCCTGGATGACTGTAATCCATAGGCAGCAGTAATAATAGGTCAAAGTTTGACCTTCTCTTCTTATTAAAGTTGCAGTGAGGAACTTTTAACATGAGTTCATTGTGGCGCCCCCTGTGGACAAAGCGGTTTCAGGCTTGAAAAATCCCATCTGGGTAATTTTCAGTCTTGTTGTTGTTTTTGAACGTCATAAAGAAGCATCAGTTTAAGTCTTGGCCTGTTCCTCAATCACTTTAAAACTCCTTATAGTGTCTTTAATGTGAGCTGGCTGATGTTTGAGCGTGACTGTGGATCTTATTGTTTAAATTAACGTTGATTCACCCTGTAAGGATGCTGGTCAGGATTTGTTGCCATGGAAACATCGGAGGGACTGTTTTCTGATTCTATAAATAAACCATTTTTAAATCAATAAAATTACATTAAACATATACATGCTTTGCCTCTCTATGTGCAGTCATTCACAGATCTGGGGTCTGTTTTATTCCCGCTCTAAAGCCGCTCAGACTCTGATTCTTATCCCACCAGGAAGTCTGACACAGGAAGCCGCCTCTTAACTTTTCATCTCGACATGGAAAACATTTCTGTTATCAGTGTAGCAGCATATGATAAAAATGTAAAACACTTCCAGAGTAGAAGTGAAGTTACAGAGGAAAAGGAGAAACAAACAGCCGAGATTTTTCGTCTCATATTTCGTTATTGGATTAAATAAAAACTCCCCGAGCTGTTCTGGGTGTGTGTCTTCATAGAGCGGGTATCTGGGGTGTAATTTATTCACCAGCTTCAGGAAATACCAGCCTGCCCATGATGGAACTTCCTCCCTGAAGCTAACCCAAACACCCTGCCGGCTCCTGTTGACCACAGCGCTCTCACACACATCCCTGAGGAGAGACGGCCCTGCAGACTCTTATTTTCTAACATAAATGCACAGATTTCATCAAAAGTCGTCATCTCTTTGCCTCATACAGACATTTTTCTTCCCTAACACCGACCAATTACCTCCACCTTTTATCCGTACACCTTTAGCCCTCTTGGTCACACCTGTTCACTTTGTGCTTTTCACCCCAATTTAAGCAGCGGCGTTACTCTGACCTACTTTTTGGCGCTGTCAGCAAAATGCCACCATAAAGAGGAGAGAAAGTAATTAATCTCACGCCGAGATGTGAGTATTCCTCACATTGTCTCCTTGGCTTTGACGGACCTCATTTAGAGGCTATTGTAAGTGAGAAACGGCGGTGATATTTAGCACAGGGCCGCTGGGACATGATGCTAGCGCGGTCACATCCACAGGCCTGTCAGTTGTCAGTGTGTTTATCTCGGTGGGCTGGATGCTGGGTGAATAAGTGGGGCACAGCAAAGCTTCTCATACAGAAGACTCCAGAGGGGGTTCGCTGTGGCTGGACTCTTTGTGGAAACATAATGACCGTTTAGTGTGACTGCGGGTGAAGAGGTGCCGAATTTAAAGATGTACAGCAAAGAAAACAAGCTAGCCGGAACTCTTAGATTTTTCTTCTTTACAGCTGTTTTCAGTCATTGGTGATATCTTAGCAGGCTGAGTAGACCTGGTTCAGGCTTGGGCCAGCTCTCAGTTATGCTGCTCAAGGTTTAGACTTCCGGGGGTACTGGCACACGGAGCTCATTTCCCTCCTTCTCCATCCTCTTCCTGTCTGTGTCCTAATCTTTGAATCATCATGTCCTGTGAGGGTCACTTATACAGTCTCTTTCTGGGAGTCCCTGAGATCCATCATGCTGTAGGTTCCTCTGGGAGCTCCTTTAGCTACACCCATCCCCCTCTCTCTCTTCTCTAAACCCAGCTCAGACTCAGCAGATGACTGTCTAACATCAGTCTGGTTCTGCTCGAGGTTTCTGTCTGTTAAAGGAATTTTTTGAGTCTGGTTCTGCTCGAGGTTTCTGCCCGTTAAAGGAAGTTCTTGACTCTGGTTCTGCTAGAGGTTCCTGCCTGTTAAACAAAGTTCTTGTGTCTGGTTCTACCAGAGGTTTCTGCCTGTCAAAGGAAGTTCTTGAGTCTGGTTCTGCTTGAGGTTTCTGCCTGCTAAAGGAAATTCTTGAGTCTGGTTCTGCTTGAGGTTTCTGCCTGTTAGGATGGGATGCCAGTGGGTCTGACCTTACAGGAAGGGGCACAGTCTGATCCCACCTTTCCTTCGGGTCTTTGTAAATAGAGTCCTCATGAGTCCTGGCCCCTGTAAAAGGGGTTTGTACCTTTTTTTTTCAGGGAACTGATACTTTTTCTTGGTATCTTAACTTATCTTGTCATATCTCCATATCTGTCATATCTCCTCTTCCTCATTCCTGCTTTTCTTCTCTTCCTGCACCAACATCCATCCTTATAGTTTAAGCAGTAGTTCCCTCCAAAGCATCCTCAACAATCCAGAATACAACAGTCGCTCTGCTAACGCTGAGATAAAATAAAACCTCCAGTATACTCAGATGAAACGTCCTCCTCTGCTGCCGTGATGCTTGTGCAGCATGTAAACAAACTCTACCACAGTGGAGAGCCTTTGTCACGTGTGGATTGACTTCCTCTCTACCTGCCCAGGTGCTGTTGTCTTGGAGCTGCACACTTAAACCTCCAGACACACATCCCAGGTCTGCTGGGAGAAACCGCATCACTGCTTTATAAGCATTTACATATCAAACACTCCACCTGGGGATGTTTGGGATAAACGTAGAGGATCAACAGTCTCCCCACATGGCTTCATCTGAGCCTACACACACACGCCTCTGTCTGTGGGAGTGTCCACCTGTTTCCAAAATCAACATCGCCTCATTTCAGATGTTCTACATCCATGAGAGTGTAATAACCCTGACGCTGCTTGATCTCCTGGATGGAGTGAAAGCAGACAGTATAGCGAAGTTGGGGGCTTGCCACTTTGTTGAACTGCAGGATTAGTCATGTGGAATAGATGCACCAGACACACACAAACACACACTTTCTCCGAGGCATTTCCCAAAGAGGCCCTTAAGCAGCGGCAACAGATCAAACGCTGGAAACAAGAGGATTACACACAAACACACACAAACACACACGACTGAGCAATGCTGTCCACAGCAAGGACAAAAGACATGCAACACATTTCGGAGTGAGAGACGCCAGAAATATGAAGCAAAAAAAGCAAACATTAGCATACAATTCATCGGCAATAATTGTGGATATTCCTCCAAAAAAATCACAACCCTAAAATGAGCGATGATTCTCAGAGGAGCCAAAATGAGTTTAGTTCGAGTCTGAGCACTTCAGGAGCAGAGTCAATGTTGCACCGACACGATTTCAGGGTTCAGTTTACAGTCACACATAAAAATATGAGCCTCAGAAAATCCTACGCCTCTCAGTCTGGCAGGAAAACGACTGGAGGGGAAGATTAAAGTTTAAAGAAAGGGTATGACACAGCTGCTGCTGCTGCTGCTGCGGACTCTTCATCTCGCTCTCTCTCCTCCGTCTGCTCAGTCATCAATCTTTTCTCTCCAACTTAATTTCCCTCCCTGAAGAGTACAGTAGATTTGCCTCCTAAAAACAAACACATCATGTGCCAATATAGACGCACAAACCCGGTACGAGGCGTAAAGTGATTGATCCTACCATTCATGGCTGCAGGTGACGAGCTCGGGCGGAGAGGGGAGTCCTCTACTTAGCTGGCTCACTCTCAGACATCTGCAGGAAAAGAGAGAGAGAGAAGAGAGAGAGATAGAGATGAGAGAGTGTTGGTGTGTGTGTGTGTGTGAGGAACGACAGCACGCCTGGTGTACAACAGGAAGAGAAAGGAAAGGATGTAAATGCAGAGCAGGAGCAATAAAAAATCTCATCTCCCTGTTCACAAAGCAAGGAAGGCACACTGGACGGCTAGCATAGTGAGAGGGAGGGAGGAGAGAGGGAGGGAGGGAGGGAGGGGGAGAAAGGAGAGAGGAGGGGGACAAAACGACAAAGAGAGAGATAGAGAGATGGAGGAGGATGAGGAGGGAAAGAAGAGATGAAGACGATGCACACAGGGGGGAAAAGGGCACCAAGAGGACAGACAGACAGCTGAGGGAGAATAATGGTGCCGTAAGAGGAGGGAAACATTTATCATCGTCCGCTCTCACATCCCAGATGGAGGCTGCAGTTAACAGTCAAATCTTTATTTCTGCAGAGTAAAGACGTCTGACACTTTAAGGAAGACATCCCCCCAAATCAGAGCAGGAATACTTCTCCATAAGTAGTTTCACTGAGAATGAAAGTGTCTCTCATCAGGGAAGTAAGCGTGGTCAAGGTGATGCTTGAAGTGTAGGGATGGGAATTGATAAGATTTTATCGATACTGATGCCATTATTGATTCTACTAATCGATTCAATTCTTTAATGATCTTCTTGTCGATGCTTTTCTTTGATTTAAAAAAAAAGTAGACCGAGTAGATGAAGATCGTTTCTGCCTACTTTTCGTACCGCCCGCCATGTTTTTCCCCTCAAAGTCTCTGTTCTGGTTCGTGTAGACTGGCTTCCGCAAGACTGTTTTTCAGGCAAAGGAATCATAGAGGAATCGTTAGGATAAAATGTAAATGATGTCAATGGATTTTACCATTTGGAACCGGTTCTTGTTAAAATGTCTGAAATGTTTTAGTCGACCTTTTTCCCAGCAGTGCTCTCAGAATTAAGATTTGCACCGATGCGGTTTCCATCAGTTTCCTGGCTTGCAGGGCACCGGGCCCACCTGATGAGACTCCTCTGTGGGGTCTCTGGCTGAGTCCCGGGGGGTTTATGGGACAAACGAGCTCAAACAGGTTAAATTGGAAAATGAGCCCTCAGTGTGAGCTGCAGGTTCTCATCTATCAGCACCACAGAGAGCTCTGACACACCAGAATCCTCTGCTGGTCCGGCTCCACCATGTGTTCACCTCTGAATTCCTGAATATTGATGCTTGATCCATCCATCAAATCGACAAAGAGGGTTTCTCTGTCGATTACGCTCCTCGCTACTATCACCAAACCATCCCTCCACATGTTTCTACCTCACTCCACCTCCTGCTCTCTGTCTCCTCCATTTCTTGTTCATCCCCTCGTATCCATCCCCTCCTTCCTTTCCTCTCCATCTCTCCTCGTTTCACCACCCCACCTCCATCATTGGTTTCCCTCTTTCAGAGTGAATTCCTGGAGGGGAAAACAGCGGTTGTTGTCGAATAAATCATTCTGCTGCACATGCCGACACTGCCAATTACTTAAGAGCAATGAACCACTGGCTGTGCATGCACTGGGATGGCTGCATGACCAGTAAACAAACACACACACAAACACACACAGAGGCAAACAATAGGGATCTTCCAAGTGAAGAACCATAAATCCATCCAGGAAAACACAAACAACTGGAGTGACTGCATTGTTGGAGTGAGTGTCTGCGGTTGTTTCCCTCAGAGTGACGGGGTGTAACTGTGTCTGGGACGGGAGACGGGGGGGTATTTGTATGTTGAATTGTACATTTGTAAAAACTACGTGAGTTTCCCTCGGCAGGTCCAGGATCTAGATATCACTTATATAGATGTCACTTTAACGGTTTCAGAATAGAGACCATGTCCATCTCACTGGTGTCTGTTTGGCAGATTTAAAGCCTGAGCATGTTGTTGTACCTGATTAATGTGTCCACTGGCTAACAGAGTAAAACCGTAAAAACGTTCTCTTGCTGTCGGTCGTCTCAGGTCTGACTGGCGTTTTCCTTCAAACTATCATGAAATTACTTAAAACCGTAGAGAGGGATCTTCGCTTATGACCTTGAGGTCAACAGGTCTTTTGTGCCAAATCTGAAGAAATTCTCGGTTCACAATCAAGAGAAGGACTAATGGACGGACAAAACAATTAAAAAACAATTAGTGCATTTGTTGGTGCAATTAGTTATAAATGTGTTTAAATGAAGTCTAGAGTTTGCGTCTAACTCTCCTCTCTGCACACTCTTTGTGTTGATCCGCCCTCATAGACAAACATCTCTGTATCCTGAGGTTTGTGTACATGTGTGTGGTTTCAAACAGGAGACCGTGTCTGCTATTGGCTTTGCTTGAGAGCCTCCTCTCTTCAAACAGGACACATCCTGGATGAAAACAACGCAGAATCAACACAAAAACACCCTCTACATCAACACTACCAGCACCCTCAGAGCCTCACAACACGCTGCACTCAGTGTTTCCTGCACAGCGATATCGGAGAGCTAACAACAACAAACCCTAAGTTATTGTGATGGATGTTTTGTTATTAAGAGATTCTGGCAGCAGGTTATCTGACAGATCGACGGCTTATATTGATCATGAGCCCAGATATTGGCCAATGCAGATCATTTCTGGCTGCAGTCTACACAACAGAACTTTTAACCCCCTATGAGCCAGGTCGTACCCTGAGATCCTCGGGTGGGGGGGTCTTCTGGTCGTTCCAAAGTCGAGGCTTGTAACTAAAGGTGACAAGTCCTTTTCCATCAGGGCCCCTCGACTTTGGAACCACCTTCCCGAGGAGATCAGGTGTGCAGAAACAGTCACTGCTTTTAAAACACGTCTTAAAACTCATTTTTATAGACTAGCTTTTATATGATTTTGTCTTCTTTAAAACCTTTTACACTTCTTCTTCATGTTTTATAATCGTCCCCGTGGTCTCAGGTTTTTGTGATTGGGTCTCTGTGTTGGCCGGGTATCACAGGTTCTTATAATGTCCTTGTTTTAATGACGTCTCAGCTCATGTGACACTCATCAAAGCTTTTATGTCTTCCACCAATTTTTATTCTTTTTTATTTCTTTATTGTCAATTATGTGAAATTAGGACATGTAGTCCGAGGTTTAGTCGTGTCCAGGCTCTTTACCCCCCCAAGTGTTCTCTTGTTGTTCTGTTGTTTTTATCTTCTTTGTTTTCCTGCATGTTGAAGCATTTTGTAAACTCTTGTTTTTAAAAGTGCTACATAAATAAAGATATTATTATTACTTTTAAAGTTCTAATTAGCCCGATCAATTGGTCTATCACTAACAAATACCAGCTTTAACTGGCGCCACCAAACTCCTCCAATCAACAGCATGACCTGCAGAGCAAAAACCTTAAAAACAAACTAAACGAGTCTCCAGCAAAAAGCTAACATAAGACCGAGAGGCCTCAAGATTCTTGGGTTTCTGTTAACTCATTGAGTCAGGAACCAAAACTTTGCCAAGATCTCTCTGGAGTTTCTAGAAATATGCATGCAAGGTCAATCAAAAGAGGTCATGAGGACGAGCACTGGTTTGTGGGGCTAAAAATGAGCGTCCAGGATATGAATGTACGACTATTTATTGTTCTGAGTAAATGAGGTGCTGGTTTAACCCGGAACGATCTGGAACCGTGACAATTCCTACCAGATCCGTTTGTGAGGCGAATTTTGTGGCAGATTATCGACAGCAGGAATCGCAAGAACTCACAAGAACCCACAGATTCACGTGCAATCACGCGATAACAAGTTGTCTTTAGCCACGTAGGCTAACCATATAAGCAGTAGATTGTGTCCTTCCAGGGGAGGAAATCTACTTCTAGACTTCTAGAATCAGCATCTCCTCATCCATGGTGTCATTGGGGTGAAATGACGTCTAAAAACCTTTCACTTGTTCGTCTCCGCCCGTTTGCATGGTGTGAAATACGATCCTCCTGAAACACGGAGTGTTTTATTTTGAAAAGAAGCAGGATGTTTTATTTTGTGTTTGTGCCCGACTTCCTTTCCAACACGGGTTAACTTGTGCTGAATTTATCCGCCATGCTCGGCGTCCGGAAAAAAATTTAACTCTTGCAATCAGCTGTGGACTCCGGGGATCCACAGTGGAACGAAAAGAAACCGAAGGAAATTGACACATTAACCTGAGTGGTTACGATCAGCTACGATCGGCGGATACGGCCTTTTCGTAGGTAGCCGTTCTGGATGTGGTGGAAATTGAGGGTAACTCAGTGGTTGAAGAGCACGCCTCATGAATAACCTGAGGCTCAGTTTTTGATGCAGCGCGCTCAGCCTCACGCTCGACTCCATCATCTCTCCTTTCTGATGGAGGTTTTCCCGAGAACCAGCAGATACTTCAGGCTCAGACAGGCAGCATTTCTGATCGGAGAATCCCGATGAGACACTTTCACAGCTGAGGATTCGGTGACCCACCGCACCGATCGAGAAAATGAATCCATGAAGCTCCGACTGTGTCCTGAATGCTGATGGACACCTGTGTGTGTGCGCCGCGCTGGCACTGGACGGATGTGGGTATCAATGCATCGGCCTGTGTGTGTGTGTGCAAGTGTGTCGCACACACTCTCCCCCGTCCTCACACAGAGGAGGGTCCTGTTCTCGCAGACACAGCCCAGGAAGCTTTACTAAGCTGGAGGAAGAAAGGCGCCTATGTGTTTGTGCGTGTGTGCGCTTGTATTTTCAAACACAAAGTTACACACATTTGTGCTGCAGGTGAAAATAAGGGACGCTTTCAACAGAGGGTCATTAATCCAAAACATTTATGGGTCAGTTTGAGGAACGGAGCCTCCTTTAAGATTTCACCAATAAGCCAAAAAACTCTCTTTAGAGCATATTTAAACAAACCCTCAGAGTCGAACAGTTTCCTCTATGAAGGCGTGTTTGCTCGTCTTCATCTGCACACGTGAATTATACCAGTGGTTCTAACTGGGCTCACTCTGAAACCCACATTTTCCCATGGTCCTTAAGTCGTGACCTACTTTTATAAAATTCAAACCAAGCAAATTAATTATTTTGTAAAAAAAAAAAACCTTCAAAGTCTCAAATGTTTAACATAAATACACCCATTTTAGTGAGTAAAGTGCATTTTAGTCGTGATGGACACGGCAGCTCCTATTAGATGTACTGAATCACTAGAATCAGTTCACTAAAAAGATTCGTTCAAAAGATTCGATCACCAAATCAACAACTCATGTAGAGCTTGGTCGGAAAAGCCTGCGACTCCGACCTCCTGAACTGATACACAGCTGAACGTTTCAGGATGTGTCGTTCGCGAAAGATTCGGTTGTTTTGAACGAATCGTTCACGAACAACACATCACTAGTTGAGTATACAGAAAATATCAAATCTCAAATTATACAAACTAAAGACCAAACAAAAAAAACAAAAATTTGTTTTCACTGCATTCAGACCACATTGATAAGAAACCGAGGAGGACCACGATATAATGTGTGCCTTTCAAAATAAAAGACATGTCAAACATCAGATTAAATATTCATTTTTTTGACTAGCTGTTCGCGACCCATCCAGAACGTGTCAGCGTGGGTCAGGACCCACCAGTTGAGAACCACTGAGTTATGAAATACTTTCTCTCTTTCTGTCTTAGCAGGCGGATGAACGACAGTCACCGCTGGGATGAGGCCAGGTGTCAGAGGAGCTGCAGATGAACTGGACTTTGCCTCTTCAGTAAAGAAACACTCCTCTCTATTCTCTCCCTTTCACTCCCTTACACACTTAAACAAAAACACACACATATACACACACACACACACTATAGGCAATCTCTATAATTAGACGCTGCAGTGAATCAACAGAAGCTGAAATAATCCGCCAAACTTCGCTCAGAAATATCCCTGATCATGTTACTCAATCCAAACAGCTGATAACAGGAAGCATGTGCTCTTTTCCCACACCTCATTACTCAACATTAAATAAAACACCTTCAAGACTTCCAGCTGCTCTCATACTCTCTATGATAAACTGCATTAAGGTCACTGTGTGCTGGGTCGAGTAAGGCTGCCTCAGACTCTCAGGGGAGCTCCAAAAATATCTCAGTGATTTCTTTTTCCTCCAGATAAGGACGACCCGGGTTCGTTTTCTGGACACTGGAGGTTTTTTCGTTTACCCTGAACACACCTTCTCTGTGAATGGTTAGCTCACTTTAGGAGAAACAGGGTTCACGTCCAATTTAGTTTTACTTTCAGGGATAAAGCAATAAAACCTCTGCAGGCTGTACTGGCTCTAAGAGGGGGAACAGGAACACATATGGAAGTAAATCTGTGCCATCTGATTTTGAATTTATATTTCTAAAGCTGAATTTTTTTGGAATCAAATCTTCCACTGGGGTCGTTGCCACATGACCAATCTAGCATTATTTGTTTGGCTGGACGATGGATAATTGAGTCAGGAATCGATTGCTTCTCCCTGATTACCCGGATGTTGAGTCGGTCTGTTCTACAGTCCTTACACACCGGAAACGACGCAAATATACGACGCGAAATTACGAAATATTCTGAGGCGAATTTTGACGTGCCCGACTATACACATCAAGCGCTATGCAATTTTGCGACTTTCCGCAAGCTTAGCTTAGCTTACGAGCTCAAGTTACTTAGCACGGATGAAAGTTAAAACAAAGACATTTAGCAAACTGTAAATATATACCGATATACCGTTAAATCTGATGTTGCAACAACACGAATTCTAATTGGTCAAAAGTGGACACACAGTATGCGAAACTTTAGAAAAATCGACCGTAATACGAAAAAATTAATGTCGCAATATCGCAGGACAGGAAAACGTTGCTGATCTAAACACTTGTATTGACAGGATACGGGTTCGATAAAAAATATTGACGTCTGAAATAATCGCACTAAAAAAACACTCCCAGTGTTTAACAACCTTTACACTAAATTTTTATTGACACTGAAATTTTTTTGATGTTGAAATTTTTTTGTAGTTTTTTAAGTCGATTTTTTTTACACTGAATTTGTTTCATCGTTGTAAAAAACAAAGTGTCAGAAATAAAAATGCGTGCATGAAATTCAACTAAAAAAAAAAAACGGTGTAAAAAAATAATTCAGTGTCAAAAAGAGTTAAAAGAAACTTACAAAAAAAATCAACATCAAGAAAATTTCAGTGTCAAAAAATTTAGTGTAAAGGTCGTCACACACCGGGAGCGTTTTTTCGTGCGAATATTTCGGACGTCAATATTATTATTTTTTTTTAACCCATATATAGTTTCCGAATTCGAAGTTTGATTTGATGCAAAAAAAAAAATCAGCTTTAGAAATTCAATTTAAAATCAGATGACACAGATTTACTTCCATACACATGCTGTTACCAACATGTTACCAAGATAATCCCAAGATGTTACCAGCATGATTGTTACCATTGTTTAAAGGATGCGGGTTTTTTCGTGAAAATGCGGTCATACAACGTCAGCTCTCAGCGCGCGCAGACAAAGCATTCACCTGAGCTTCAACAGACAGGTGCGAAAAAATCCTATTTTTAAAATATTGGACAAAGAAATACAGCAAACCCGCAGACAGAACCGTTTCTACAGTCAAAATACGACAGTGTCAATGACATTTACGGTTTAATTTCAACTAGACGCCGTTTATTTTAAATATAAAAACGGTCAACGGCGCATTGGCCGTTTTTCCACGTGTTCATCAGAATTAAACGGGTTCATGTTTTTACCTGTTGCAGCAGCAGAGCAGCAGCTGAGTCGATCCACATCCAGGCTGGAAGATCTGAGCTGAACGAGAGGGAGGAACCGCTCCAGTGAGCTGGGGTGGGTGTGGACTGGGAACGGACCCTTCAGGACCGTCAAGGTACGACACTGACTAAGGTGACTTCCTGCAGGATCCTTCAAAATAAAAGAAAAACTGACGCAAGTACAGAAAAAAAGGTTTATCGATTAGTCGGTCTCTCATCTATGATATTATGACATAAAAGATCAAACTTAAACAGTCACTGACATGGTTAACATGTCTAAATTAAGACTGTTTTATACTCAATCGGTCGTTTCATTTAGCCGATTAAACCGACTTTTATTTTGAAGGTCCAAACACCTGACCTCTATGTCTCGTTTATAACAGTTTAACTCCCCTAATATTAACTCCGTTCACACCATAATTAAGGTAGACGTGTTAACAGAGGGTCAAAGTTAAAGTTACGACATCTTTCCACACTTTTATGATTATAAATCATTTTAATTTGAGCTTCATCATATCTGATCTTTTTAATAATACTCCTCCTGATCACATCTGTTTGTTTTTGGAGCATTTTGGAGAAAGATATTTGCTTTATGCAGAAGACACAAGAAGCTGCTCAAACAATGTTGAGTTTGCAAAGTGGTTAATAATTATTAATTTAAGAGAGAAGAGAGATTTATAACTTTGAATAATGTCTAAAGAAATAAAGTTATAATTAAAAAAACAAATGGAAATGTCAAAACTATTATTGTAACCTTGGTCTGAGATTACAGTAGCACTACAATGTCTCATTGCTTGGTCTGCTTCTGCCATCTAGTGGCCACAGTACGCCATGTTTGATGCACTTTCTGATTCCTCTCAGATTCAGGTGTGTGCAGACTAACAAACTCAGACACTCACGGACACACCGGGTGCAGGACACTGTGGTTTATTATTGAATTCAAACATACACAGACTGATATTCTCACCTGTTTTCCTTAAAGAAACTTAAATATTCAACAGCCAAAAAAAATAAACAGGATCTTTAAGATCAGATTTTGCAGAAGCTCTCAGGGAGTTTGTCTCTTCAAGCTCCAAAGATGTAGTCCTTCAAAATAAAGTTCACAGGCTGAATGCTTAACAATTCATAAACCAAATAACAGGACTACACACTCATCAGGAGTTCGATTGTAAATATCCAAACATCGTTACTGTAGCGTCTTTTTTAGTACTCGTTTTAATTTTGTTTTTAAGTTTATGTTGAAGGTTTGAAATGCTTCATTTTTCTGTATCCTAGAGTGTAGTGCTGAGTGTTGGGCTCAGAGCTCAGAAGGCTCTGAAGAGCTGGTTTGGCATGTATCCCAGGTGGAGGAAGGAACTCTGGGCTTCTCTCTCGAGGTTCGCCAGCTCCTGGACTGTCGGGGCCAGAACATCCACGTGCCCCTTGTAGTTTCCACCTGTGTGGGAGCAGCAGGTCTGTTAGTCAAGCTCAAAGTAAAAACACTATAAATATGAAGCTTTTGTTCAGAGTCATTTGAAAAGGTCGGTTACCTCCCATAGCCCTGCGCTGGCCGTAGGTCACCTTCCCGTCAAAGTCGTCCACAGGTACTTTAATGTCCGGCTCACACTGAGTGATGGTGCACTTGAGATGCTCCTCGATATCAGACAGAAGCTGTTCAGAGGTGAAACAAAGAAAAGACACAAGAAGGACTGAGAGTCTGTTTAAAAACAGAAAATCTGACTCGCTGAAGTCGACGTCTTCGTCTCTGATTACCTCTTTCTCGTTGTACCAGATGGTGCAGCCTCCGTCCTCCTTCAGGCGAGTGTTGTAGCAGCCTCGGCCTCGGTTTGCACAGACGTGATACCACACCTGTGGGGACGGAGGAAGTAAGTCAGAGCTTTATTTTTAAACTCGATCATCTAAAGACTAAAAGTGTGTTTCTATTATCCGCCGTACCTTCTCCTTCTCCATCGCAACCAAGGAGATAGCCAGACCCATTCTAGGAGAGACAGACGAATATTTAGATCATGTTCTCCTTCAAACAGAAGACCAGAGTAGATGGATTTCAGTTTTACCTCTCTGCTCTACCGACTCTGCCGATACGATGGACGTAGTTCTGCTTCTCATCGGGCAGCGTGACGTTGATCACTGGAGGGGAAACAAAAATCGATAAGCTCCTTCTTCCACAAAAACATTTGATCGGGTTTCGGATCATCAAACATCTCTACCGTAAGGAACTCCGTGGATGTCGATTCCTCTGGCGGCCACGTCTGTGCAGATCAGCAGCCTCACTTCTTTCCTCTGTGAAAACAAATAAAACCTTTAAAACACCGACAGACTTCTTCTTCTTCTACTTCCTCTGGAGGGTTTTCCTTTTACCTTAAAGCGCTCCAGGTTATTTTTCCGCTCGTTTGGTTTGCGATCACCGTGGAGGCAAACACAGGAGAACTGGTGGCCTTTACTGTCTGGACCTGAAGAGGAGGAGGATCAATATTGAGGCTCTATGAATTTAGAATAATCTAACCCAGAGAGGATCTGGGATTTAAAGGTAAACTCTTGTACCTCCTCCCTGCTGAATGAAGTACTGCTCCATGTTGTCACAGTCGATCTTCGTGCGACAGAAGATGATGGCCTGGTCCATCTTGTGTTCTTTGACGGCCCTCACCGTGTACTCGCCCTTCAGCAGCTTGATGGCCTCTGACCACATTTCTAAAAAGCACACCAACACGATAACGCTGTAAAGTTCAGAGCTTTGATTGTTTGGAAAAGAAAAATCATGATAGTCAGATCTCACCAGAAGAGTTGGCTCCGGGTCTGGTGTTGTCTTTGGCGTGGACTTCGTCGGTCTATCAGAGTAAAACAGATTCATCAAGACAAGAAGTAAACGCATGATTCGAGGCCGAGATAATCAAAAGTTTCAGATTAGAGAACAAAAAACACGTCTGTATTTTTCCTCAGATCAACACGAGAGACTCACCCTGACGTGGTTCTTGCCCAGACGCTCCCAAAGACGGTCACTCTTGGGGTTAACCGGCACCACCACGTGGTGGACTGTCTCAGGGACAGAGTCCTCCCCCTTCAGGTCCACCCAGGTGGGGAAGTGCATGATGCGCTCCGACAGCTTCTTCACGTCGAAGGAGTGCAGCGTGGCGGAGCAAACGATCACCTGAGAGAGAAGATTTCCACCAATGAGACCTGATCGGGTTTAATTCAACATCCTGTACTTTCATCTATAAGAGTGTTTTCAGAAAAGGGGAATCTGTTACCTGAAGTCTTTTACCGTCAGAGGTGACCTGAGGGATCTGGTTGTGGATCCTGTTGATGAAGTCGGTGTAACCTGCAGAGAGGAGGCCATCCTTGGGGGAAGAGAAACCAGACAAATGATCTCTGACTCCAGGGGGTGTTACGGTGTCATGCAGAGCTACATAAACTGTGTTTGTACTCTAACTGCTGATCCCTTCATGTCTTTACTTACACACTCATCCAGGACTAGGAAGCGGACTTGAGACAGGCTCAGTTTCCCTGTAGAGATGAGGTCGTCCAACCTGCCGGGTGTTCCCACAACGATGTCGATCTGAAAATAAGTAGTCCACAGAAAATCAGCTAAAAGTCGGTTTCAGTAGATCTGTAATTCCACAGTTAGCACGTCACATCTCCCTGAACCTTCCTGATCTCTCCCTCTAAGACCTCAGGATAGTTTAAAGTTGGTTCAGTGAAGGTACGAGTTTCTTACCCCTTGCTCCAGAGCGGCCAGCTGCTCTTTGGCAGCCACTCCTCCGATCACCAGGAGGTCCCTGCAGCAGAAAGACAGAATCTGTTATTGTTTAAAACTGAACACTGGCTCCATCTGCTGGAGCAAAACAACACCTACAAACATACCAACCCCACACTTCCATTCTTAGCTATCATTGTGGTATATTTTCCAGCCTGCTCTGATCCAGGTCGTACCTCAGTTTCGGGTTCTCCACGTATTTCCTGAACTGCTTGACGTTGTTGAGGGTCTGCTCGGCCAGCTCTTTAGAGGGCTCGATGATCAGAGCTTTGGGGGCATTGGATGATGCTTTCACCTGACTGACTTTGGCACTGCCTGAACAAACACACAGCAGAGCAGAGGAGCTGTTTGTGAACCTACCAGAGATGATGTCTCGGTGTTCATGTCATCATAAGTTTGTGGACAACTTCTAGAAATGTAGCCCCTGTTCCACCTTCACCCACAGGAGGCTTTGACTGTTATAACTGATGAAGTGTCTGACACACCTGTCTGAGAAGATTTGACTGTGTGACCCTCTGTTGCCTGATCCAGAGCAACAAATCCAGTTTTGGGGGTGTGTTTAAAGGCCTCTCCTCCAAAGTTGAACTTCAGCTCTGCGTTCTGAATCAGACACAGATTAATAATTGGCATGATGTAAGTTTGGACCCTTCTGATATTTTTTCTCTCTCTTTAATTGTGACGTCAAACCTTCAGCACGCAGGAGGCAAAGAAAGGCTGATTCTTCACGTGTTGAGGGATGTCGAAAGCCACACCCAGGTCGTTGCCTGGAGAGGAAAGGAGAAAGAAAAATGAGTTACTTTATTGTTAATATTCTACTTTATTATTATTAGGATGATAAGTATGAGATCTCTGGAGGCAGCACCATTTTTGGAGTAGGAAATTTGTCCCTTCTCCAGATCCAGGTAGCATCCGATGGTGTCGTGCATGGTGAACTCCTGCAAAGACAAGTTCAAGAATTATCACAACAGCTGTTTGTATATCTAAATAACACAATCATACAACGTTTGTTACCTCCCCATAGCTGTCGAACTGCTTGTTGTTGGATTTCTTTCCAGTCCCACCAAAACCGAAGCCGTACTTGTCGGTTCCTGGAAAGAAAAAAATAGACTTCAGGGTTAAATCATCTCCTCACTGAGTCTGTTTTAACAACTAAATCCTTTACAGCGCAGAGGCATACCCAGGTCCAGTGAGGCCTGACTGGTGGACCAACCGATACGGCAGAGTCCTTGGTCGTGGCAGGCCACCTCGTAGTAGTACTTTCCTGGAACCAGAAGACACGAACAAAGTCACACTGTGGGTCCAAGAAATAAAGAGTCTGTTGTCATTTTTTAAACTCCAGAGTTTCTGTTTTCAGTCTCAGACCTTTAGAGACCCCTTTAGTGGATCGACAGCCGTGCCACTCTTTGAACTCTCTGCTCTGGCAGCACAATCCATCCGGACCGATCGCTGTTGAGCAAAAACAGAGGAGAACGTTGACAGAGAAGATACAGGAATAAATGGTGTATGTGCATTTGCTGTACCATTATTTCTCCAAACACTGCTCACCAAAGGCTGTGCTGCGGTCATAAGGGTTCATCTGCCAGTTGTTGAAAACTATAGAGAAAAAAATACAAACAAAACCGGTTCAACATCTTAAAAAACTGGAAATATCACTCCCATCATTGTTTGTGTTTTCATGAATCCTAAATTGAAATCGAAGACTGTCAAAGTCTGAGATCAGAGAGTCCTGCACAAAGTTCAAACATTAACGTGGTCTCACTTGCTCCTCCGGTCTTGATGGAGGCTCTTCCAGTCTTGCCCTCCTGCTGATCTTTTAGGGTCTCATACACAATCTGGATCACTGGGATACTGAAGGCCTGAGGATGAGAACCACTGCACTTCAGTCTTTTTATTCTGCTGCAATAACATGAAGATTTTACTGTAAACTTCTGTGCAAACATCAGAAGTGAAGCTGAAATACTGTGGGAGGATTTACTGTCATGAACTCACGCCTGTTTTTCCACTTCCAGTTTCTGCAGCCTGTGAATCAGAATCAAAATAAGGATGATTATAACATCTGAGCATTGACATTATAATATCAGAAATGACAATATAAAGATTAAACCTTAAAGAACAGAGTCAAACCCACCATGAGAACATCTCCACCTCCGAGGATCAAAGGGATAGACTCTGCCTGGATATCAGTGGGCAGCCTAAAAATAAAGATTCAACACAAACCAGATAAACTGTTCAGATTATAACAACATTAATAATATAATGCTGATATAAACAAACATCATAAATGTTTAATTTGGCCTTTCGGACACTCACAGCCAGTCCATCTCCTCCACAGCCTGAGCAATTTCAGGCATAACACCCATTTCTGTCAAATAACAAACACATATAGTAAGTCTGCTCACACCGGAACATCCTAATATCTGTTTTTAAAGATGTCAGACTGATTTTGACTTTAAACATTTGGAAATAAAAGTCATTTTTACCTGAAAACGCAGCCATGACTGCTGTGGAAGCGAGCGAACAAACCGGATGTAACGTGTTCAGATTTTCGGCTCGGTGTAACTCCTTTACCGGACCGGTGAAGCGATATGATCTCGTTGGTTCCGGGTAGTTTCTTCGACAAAAACGTTATTAAACAAAAAACTGATTACACGCACTTAATTAAAAGCACATATGTATAAACGACATTATAATATTACAGTTTGTCAAGTGAAAGCACGAGGATATTTTTTTAGCGCCAAACTGTATTTCCCAAACGCGGTTAGCTGGTGTATTTTGTCCCCTGTGGTTTGCCGTAGTCCACTGACAGCAGTAACATGGCTGAAGAAAGTCTCATTGAGGGCGAAGATGAAAACATTTTGTATGATTTACTCGTTATTACGGAATGGCCGCCGGAGACAGACACTCAGGTCAGTCTGTTTTTATTTTAGCTCCGTTATGTTTTAATGTTTGTTGTTTTTGTGCAGAATTAACGGTTCAAAGCTAACTCTTCTGAGCTGTTCAGAGCCACGTAGCACTTGAACCCACAGAAACACAACATGTTATGTATTAATATTCACACATTAATGAAACTAAGAGACTGTTTTGTTTTAAATCTTTATTATTTGTGCAGTTAGTACCTTAAATTCCCGTAGAGGACAGCAGACAGACATTTCTCTAAGAGGTAGATATTAAGAGCGTTTCTGCAGGACCGACTCCTCCTCTTTACATAAACAAACCTGTGCTTCTCTTAGAGATAAACTATTAACACAAATAATTAAAATCCTCAGTATAACTTGAAGATAAGGACATTCTGAGCTCACCTTTACCTTTCTTATGTTTGCAGTTGCGTGGCAACAAGGAGCACAACACCTCCCTTATAGCAAAAGCAGTGACAGGTAAGTGGTTTTTAGTGGTCCACATCAGTCCCTCTACTGGATCAGGATCTGATACTTCATTATACATATTTTGCAAAAGATTAAATACATGATGCAACTAGAGCTGGGCGATATAGGAAAAAGTTTATCACAATATATTTTTTTAATATCAGTCTGTATCGATATCACAATATAAAAAATGAAATTTAACAGTATTTATTGGTAGACTGTCTTTTGCAAAACAATAATGTACTGCACCTGGAAGGTCTTTGTGTCTCTTTGACGTTTTGTCATAAGGTGTTGCTCTAGAAACTATCAAAAAGCATATTGACCATGTATTATATAGATATTGAGGGAAATTAATTTTCGATTGTTACCGTTTTATTGCCCAGCCCTAGAGGCAACATTAACTCATCATGTTAACTGATGGTGATCCATTTCTTACAGGACCTTTCCGCCTCATCTTGCACTACCTGTGGTACAGGTAGGTTCATATTTATAATTCAGAAATGACATGCATTAAGCAAAAAAAAAAGAAGTGATTTTTATCATAATGATCTGAAATCTCATGAAGCAGAGAATCATAATAATGTGATTTTAAAAACAAGATGTTTTGCTGTCTTTATCTCTTTTATATGAATATAAAACTGATAATCCGTCTAGCAAACTCTGTCAAAAAGCCTCTAACTCCAATTCTGCTTGAGTTTGGATTCTGTGTGAAATATTAATGACAGAATGTGATGGTCCTCTAGTCATCTAAAGCAGATATTTAATTGGGAGTCGTGCAACAACAACACGTCAAGTGTTGAAAGTGGAAAATTTTAATGGTTATATGAAAAATGTTTGTTTTAAATTTAAATTTGTTGCCAGAAAAGTTTTTAAAAAGTTTTTCATGCTAAAGAAAACATACATAGAAACTTCCCTCAACTATTGAGGTTAATTTGCATCATGACAGGTACAAAAAAAGGTGCTCAAGAAAGGCTCAGATGTTAAGATGGGAAGTATTTTACTACTCTGTGAGACCGTGTGAGGAAATGGTCAGCAATCAAAGAATGATGTTAGCTGCAATGACTTCCAAATAAATTGGGGATTTCATCATCTACAGTACAAAATATTAAATATATGTTACATATTATTATTGGGGAAAACTGGATTGGTTGTGATCTTTGAGACCTCGGGCAGAACTGTAGTAAAAACAGACAAGACTCTGCAGTGAAATCTACTGCATGTTCTTTAAGTCACATTTAAAAGCTGTTGTTTGTGAACACAGTCTGTCACTGCATCCACACCACAGATGAAGGTTTAAACTCAACCGTGCAAAGAGACAAAACATATAAAAAAAACTAGATCTAGAAAAGCCAGTAACCTCTCTGTGGCCCAGCACATTCAAGATGGACTGAGGCGAAGTTAAAAACAGTCCTACAGGCTGAAAAATGAAAAGTGGACTTTATTTTGGACGCCTCATCCTCTACTCTAAAGAGGGGAGAGTCGAGCATATGTGGTGATGTGGGGATTCATAACCCCCCTGTGATATTGGTATGTAGATTTTATGGAGTTTGGGTTTTTTTCAGGTTCACTACCACTGCAACAAAACAACTTCACTAAAGAAAAAGAGTCTTGACTTAATCCTTAAGAGCCACATTAGCTGTTTGCTCACAATGAACCTCTGTTTGTTGATTAAAAGGTTAAATATGACATAAATGTATCTCTATGGAAATGTTTGAAAAAGAGCAGAAGTGATCTTGTGGATCCAGATTCAGTTTAACTGTGTCTGTTTGTTATATCAAATGTTTTAATACTGATGGTGTTGCTGAATATTCAGACTCATGATCGATCTGTGAAGTGGTCGTATTTCTGTAGATTATTAAGACATTGATCTTAGTTCATCACGTCATTATTGAACAGTATGTAAACACTGGCTGTGACCTGCAGCTGAGTCTATAATGGTGTTACACTGAGGCCTGTTTATCCTCTCAGTAAGTGGTTTGTTGGGATCATCAATAAGCTCATGAATTATTGAAAAGCTCCTCTTGTTGTGTTTGTCTCTCAGCTCTGCTCTGTTTTTGTGAAGGATCAGGAATTTTGTTTAATCAAGTTAAAGAGAGAAAAAAAACTGTTGAAGACCCGAAAAAAACAAAATGGGATCATACAGGAAAAAATGAATGATATGAAAAATAAAAATATGAATCCTGAGGTAGTGAAGTTTGTAGAAATCAGATTTATTCACCTAGAGAACAAAACATGGATAAGTTCTGGAAATAAAGTCTGCAGTTCTGCTGATCTCTGAGTTAAAATCATTTTATAAAAAAACAGAAACTAAACTATTCAGATTAATATTTATTTAACAGTCTGAAGCTTCACAATAAACACAAAAAGTGAATCGGTTTGTCGGGACTGACGTAATGACACTCCAGATTTTAAGTTTTTAATGAAGTTTCATGAATAGAATTTTTTTTTAAATCCATAAATCATAAACTTTTGAACTTTAATTAAACTTTGAATTGCAGCAAAGTTATTATGTTTTTTTTTTAATTTGAGCAAAATTTGATTTCAAATGAAAAAATGTATTAATCTGTTTGATCAAATTTATTTAATCTAAAAATGTAAATTTTCTTTCATTTTTAAAAAATCTCTCAAGTTCATTTTGATCTTATTCTCTAGTGAAACTATGAGGATGAGCTCAGTTGATTTTTATTTTAAGGTTTTATTTGAATAAATATTATTTTAATGTGTTAAACTAAGTTGAGAATGTAATCGTTGTAACTTGGGTTTGATTCTTGATTGAATTTATTTATTTAAACTTCAAAGATAAAATGTTGATTCATGATCGTTCGGTCATTATTTGTCATTTTTGAGGTTGTTGAAGCGTCTGCTCTCACTCAGAAACTCTTTTATCGGCTGTTAGTGATCAAGTGGACTCTTAAAAATCTGTAACAGTCTGAAATCGGTGACAGGATCTCTGTCAGAGGGAGTGAGGGGCGTCCACACAACAGCCAGACCTGTGTGTAAGGAGTTAATTAGAGTGAATGTTTAGATAGACATTAATGAAGTAAGGTTTGAAACACTCCTCGGACTCTTCTTCTACATGTTTGATAAAGTGAGTTTAATGCTGACAGAGTGAAAGCCGTCTCTCAGCTGTTAACTCGCTCTCGTCCTCATCCTTGTCTCTCTCCTGACTCTGTCGACCTCCTCCAGCCCGTCCAGCCCCTCTCTCCCTCTCGGCCTCGCCCGCCTGGCAAACAAGCAGATCAACTGGCAGCTGGTGCTCGCAAGGTCGGACTTGAACACACTCAGTCACACACACACAAACACTCTCTCTCTCTCTCTCTCTCTCTTTGGATCGATACCTGAATGAGGGCTACTTTGTTGCTGACATACACGAAGCTTTCCTCCTCCTCCTCCTCCTCTCCCGCTCCTCTCTTTCTCTTTCTCTTTCCATTTGCGTTTCCCCTCCACCAATCATTTAATTGAACTCATTACAACCGACGAACCGAGCAGAGAGGCAGTTTATAATTGGCTATTGATCCGGCCGTGTAAGGCGGCGTTCGGCGCGGTCAAATGATGCTGCAGATGTCCATTAACTCGGAGAGCTTGATCCTTCCCACTCGGTTCCTGTCTTCTCTTAAATCTCTCTCCCTCTGAAGCTATCTTTGCTCTTTTTAATGCGCCCAATTATTATTGTTTCTCCTCTCTTTAAGCCGTCCAATAAGAGCTCTCCGCTCGCTATTTATCTCTTTTCCAATCAAACTGCCCGCCTGACACTCACGCTCAACACTCGTCTCTCATATTTCCCTTTAATCTTCTTACATTTTTGTCCAATTACTTAAAATTTTGGCTCATAATGACTTTTTTTCCCGGCTGTGATCTCTTTCATCACCCTCGTTCTCTCGTTCAGGTCCCTAACTGGGCTTTTGTTTTTCTTCACAGTAATGGCAAACTGCTGGCAGTGGTTCAGGACCAGTGTGTGGAGATTAGGTAATTACTGAACTGTATCCCGCTGTTTGATGCACGCCGTCTGTGTGTGCGCCAGTGATAGAGAGCCTTTTAATTAATTGGCTGATTTATCCCATCTCCCTCAAAAGAAGAGCAACAGTCTCCATTCGTATCTCAGTCATGGAGTTGATATATTTATTTATTTTCACAGTCTGCAACAAAAACAGTCGGCCAGAGTTAAAATATTTGAGCCAATTTAGCATAAATTTAGTCGGGT